TGGAACCAGCAGCAATGTACCATCCATCAGCACCTCCTCCCCAGCGACCACAGGAGGACCCTCAGCCCCTGCCCCAGTCCCAGCCGCTGCTCCAGTCCTATCCCTAGCTCTAGAAGAGCACCCCCTAATAGAGGGGGGGCTGATAGCGAAGGACCTGGGGCACATCCTTACTGTCCTGAAGTATCGGCTGGACCGATACAGAAGACTCCCTGTGGTCGCCACATGCCTCACCGGGGAGGAATACACGCGCCAGTGGCAGGAGAGGGGTGAGAAGGAGAGGGCCGGGGCAGAGGAGAAAGAGCGTCGGGCAGCCCTCAGAACACAGAGGGCACAGGAGAGGGCTGCCATGGATGAGACCATTGACGCCATCGCCTCTGCTGGACCCCCTGCTGGAACCACTCCTGACAGCTGCATCACCACTGCCAGTGCCTCCCAGTGTGCAACACCTGTAGGAGCCGCCGGAGTCCCCAGCTGCAGAAGAAGGCCACATGCCTACTCTCCCGGCCACACCATCGTCGGCCCCTCAACCCCACCATTACAAACACCAGCTCCTCCAAGCCATCGTCGGCGGTTTTGTCCACCACCACCCCAATGCACACCACCCCCCATGTCTGTCACCACCAACACGGCCTCCTCTGGACCAACTGCCTCCTCCGTCTCCCCTGGTCACACCACCATAGCAGCCTCGTCTGGTGTCCCTGCCCCCTGCAATTTGAATACCACCACCTCCACAGGTAAACACATGTTAAATTACGAAAAAATGACTGTTTGTTATCTGTTTTATAAAACAGCAATGTAAAAAATATATATATATATATCTTTATATATCTACAGTAAATAGCACCAGCCCTCAAGTCATCTCCGCCTCCTCCAAAACCTCTGCAGCTTCCTCCAGAGGTATTGATGTAAAAAAGTTGAAAAGGGTTTTCATGCAACATGCTCTGTCTAACAATACTTTTTCTCAAACTGCAGCACAGAAAAGGAAGAGAAAAGCTACACCGGTCACATCTGTCACACCACCCATGGCACCACTCTCAGGTACTTCATAATCTGTTTTTCTCGCTCTCTCAGTTGTATCAATTACTATTGTTGTTGAAGAACTTCTACATTTTGCAAAACCATATTAATCAATTTGTATTATTATTTAATTTTTTATAAAAGAAGACACCACCTGCTGTGCTCGCTGCGGGGAGCGTGATCCGCCTGCAAGCTCCTCTCAGGAGTGTAGATCCGAGGTGCCATGGGTGTGCTGTGACTTTTGCCAGCACTGGTTCCACTGCAGGTGTGTGCAGTGGGATCAAGAGGTAGCGGTGGAGCTGGATTTTTATTGTGATTTTTGTGACAATATAGGGATGGAGGTCGAGATTTAATTGTTTGTTTTGTTTGTGTTCATATGAAATTATTTATTTGTTCAAAAAAATAAATGTCTAAAATATAATATATATATTTATTTATCTTTCTGATGATACCAACAGATTTCATCACTTTGCTACAGAATAAGAAATATAGTAAAAAATAGAAAAAAAGAGCCAGAATCTCAATTGGTGGGAATGAAATGGAACAAATCACATCCACTAGATTCCTCTGAGTTCTAATTGATGAAAAGTTATCCTGGAAAGATCATATTCAATTTGTCTGTAGCAAAGTGATGAAATCTGTTGGTATCATCAGAAAGATGAGTGGTTTGGTTCATCAGGCAAGCTTCCTAACTCTACTGTATAGTAGCTTAATTTACCCATATCTCATTTACTGTAATATTGTCTGGGACAGTACATATATATGCCTCCTACCTACACAAATTACTCATCATACAAAATAAATTTGCAAGACTAGCCACCTCTAATTACCTGGCTCCATCTGCACCTTTGTTTAAGAAACTCAAATATTTTGTCTATTTACGACATTAATGTACGCCAATTATGCACTTTAATCTACAAATACTCATACCTCCCAGACAGTTTACCTAAACCCTTCAATGGATTCTTCCAGGTTAATTCTGAAATCCACCTATATAACACAAGACACTGCGATAACCTTCACCCTCCCCACTGCCGCACCTCACATAGTCAATTCTCTATCAGATACAGAGGTACCATACTCTGGAATTCTTATCTTCACATTGCCAAAACCTCATCATGCCTCAATAAACTTCAAGTGAAGATTTGGGGTCAGTCTGATTAACCAAACTAAACAATAATCCCCTCCATGTAGCCTAACTCTCATACTCACACACACACACAATCAAACATGGTTTTTCTTGTATACTGAGTATATCATGTACAATTATAATTAATATGCTTAGTTGAACTGATTGAATAAATGTAAAAAAATGTGTGCTTATATTTGTGGTGTGGTTTTCATAAAGCACTTTTGGGCTTCCAACCTCACTTGCACACCGTTTTTACCAGTTTTTTTCATCTGTAATTCTTTGGTGCGTATAAATAAAACCTAAAACCTCATAATAAACCATCCATAAAAAACGATTATATATTTTAACATTTATTATTTGGCCCTTAAAAATTATAATGTGCAAATATTGTACAATCCACGTGTACAAAGCTCTTAGACACTTACCCAGAAAGACTCACAGCTGTAATAGCTGCCAAAGGTGATTCTAACATGTATTGACTCAGGGGTGTGAATACTTAAGTAAATGAGATATTTCTGTATTTCATTTTCAATCAATTTGCAACAATTGTCATTATGGGGTATTGTGTGTAGATGGGTGAGAAAAAAAATATTTTAACCATTTTGAATTCAGGCTGTAACACAACAACATTTTGAATAAGTCAAGGGGTATGAATACTTTCTGAAGGCACTGTACATAACATGTTAGGCTATACCCCGATCAAATACTGCTGTCGTCTATTGTTGTCTTCTATAACCCCTGAAATATTGTTGCCACCTAAACATCGATATCCACTAAATTGTGTCACAGTTTTACAGAATGCATTAAAGTTACAATAAAGCTTTCACAATGATAGACACCAGTGCTTTTTTTTAGAAAGGTGCACAGTTCATTTTCTTCCCATTCCATATCTCTCTCAGGTCACACAGACCCAGATAATATCTTAGATTTGTTTCAGGCTCTTTCTTAGAAAAGAGCACCTCACCTTTTCCAACCCCTTTGAACCTCTCTTTGTCCACTCAGCAATTGCCATTGTTCCCCATACCTACTTATTTTGTTAATCTTTTGTTTAGCTTAGCCTTCAACACCATAGTGCCCTCCAAGCTCATCACTAAGCTCGGGGGCCCTGGGTGTGAACTCCACCCTGTGCAACTGGGTCCTGGACTTTCTGACGGGCAGACCCCAGGTGTTGAAGGTATGTAACAGCACCTCCGCCACGCTGATCCTCTACACGGGAGCCCCACAAGGGTGCGTGCTCAGCCCCCTCCTGTACTCCCTGTTCACCCATGACTGCAAGTTTGCTGACGACACAACAGTAAGCCTGATTACCAACAACGACGAGACAGCCTACAGGGAGTAGGTGAGAGCCCTAGTGGAGTGGTGCCAGGAAAATAACCTCTCCCTAAAAGTCAACAAAATGAATGAGCTGATCGTGGACTTCAGGAGAGAGCAGAGAGAGCACGCCCCCCATCCATATCGATGGGGCCAATTAGTGGGCTCGGCCAACACACCTGAACACATTTAACAAGATAGAGGATAGAGAGTTTTGTTGATACGGAGAACGGAATGTATATGTTTTTAAATAACATTCTTAGAACGTTCTTTGAACGTTTGTTTTCTTGTGGTTTTTATAGAAATTCCCACAAAACAACATTGTTTCTTAACGTTCTCTGAACTTTCTGAGAACATTTACTTGAAATAGAACCATGAGGAAACCTGTAGAAAACATTATGCTGATGTACTGAAATTCCAACAGAAGAATGTTCTTTCTTAACGTTCTCTAAACAATTTGAAAACATTACTTTAAATAGAACCATGAGGAAACCTGTAGAAAACGTTATGTTTAAGTACACCTAAGAAACATATGGTTCTCAGAATGTTTTGTGCTAGCTGGGTATATTGCGCCATTCCCAGAACATTGTGGGAAGGTTGAATGCAAAATAATCATAGGACAACCATGCTCTCACCAAGCTCTAAGAAACATATTGTTCTCAGAACATTATGTACTCCCTGGGGTCTGTCCATCCTTATTTTCAGTTAATCAGATTGCACTGTACCTGCCTGCTGTGTGGGATTTGGTGGTTTACTGGAAGGCATTAACATGTTAATGACATCCCTATGAGATGTCCAGGACCCCTATTTTCCTCTAGAGAACTTTGGGAATACTGTAACTTACTTTACTGTAGGCCTACTAGGATATCTAGATTTATGAGATAGCGCACGACTTCTGAAAATGTAACACAGATAATTTAATAGATTTCAACGCAAACATAGATTTAAGAAACATTGAATACATTTGCGCAAAATATATTAAGATAAATCAGTGATTACATTTTTGGGGGAGGCATTTCTTCACCCTGTGTTTTGATTTAAGCAAGGAAGTCCAAACGAAGTAGGACTTTCTAAAATCAATCAGTCTTTCTAAAATACTAGTCCAGTGTGTGTCCATAAAATGGCCACTCTGTCCTTTTGTGCCTCCATCTGGTCGGAGAATCAGCTGGAAGAGCATGCCGTAAAGACAATACTCTCTCTTCCCATTGTCATAGAAACCATTAAAACACACCCTGTTGTCAGATGTCGACAGAGAATAGAACTCTGACAGGTCTCCAAAATTCCAGAACTCGAGGCACCTGATGATGATGATACTGTTTCTCTGTGTTCCACAGGTGACAAAGCTAGTACTAAATAGTCTTTTTTAACTTATTGATGGATACAATTAAATAAATAGCTCTTTTAAAAACGGTATATTTTATCTCTATATGACAGTACTTGTCAGTTAAGGAATTGTAACAGCAAGGTAGTAAATGAGGAGTGTTTTCGTATTGAGCCGGCTATGGTTCTGTAGCTGTAGTTGTAGCTGTGTTCTGGTGAGCTATGCAAAGATCTCAGCAATGAACTCATGGAACCTCTTGGCATACTGCTCAGGGTGAACGGTGGAGATTTATGCTCCGGACTAGGAATCACACAAACAAATACAGATATTGATAAACCAACAACGATAAGAATAAAACATGTTCATATAGGGAAGACATCTTGAAAACAATAGATCAATCAAATGTATTTATAAAGCCCTTTTTACATCGTCGGAATTTTTACTCACATCCCTATTACACACAAACGCAAACACACATCAGCGTGTCACTCAGCCCGTGTTTGATGGTCTTGGCAGCATGAAAGGCTTTCTTCTTGATGTCATAGTGGGTCAGAACGTCAATCAGACCCATGAAGTACACCTCCCTCTGGGCAGCAAGACAGGCAGTGAGTGACAGGCTATCATACAGTGGATGGATGTTAATCACTCCCCTGTTGACTGTGAGGTATAGCTACTGTACTGTGCATGGCCTAATACAGTATGAGACTAATCCTAACTGGAGATCCTGATGCAGTATCAAAAGTAAGTAATGGGTCTCTCAGGTTAGGATTTGGTCCATTGTGTCATCATCACTTACTGTGTCTACACTAATGTACTGTCTTATAAAGAATATTATCTAACAGTTAGATCATCAACCACCATACAAAAATCTAAGACATTAAAAAAAGAGCCCACCCTCTTTTAATCAAGGTTCTGTTCAGCTACAAAATTCACTTGCTGGGACTCCCACGGTGAGAGAACAGTAGAATGGAAATTGTCATCCTAGCAATATGCCTAATAACTCAGTAATCATGGTCAGGAAAACTTTCATTCTAGAAGTGAATTATAGGATCTCTATGGGGACTCACTATATAAGGGTCAAACTCCCCGGGCCCCAGCGGTTTAAAGGAGTTCATGTAGCCAGCGATGCCTTCAGGAGAGGTGCCATAGAAGCCCACAGCAGGAGCAGGAGTCAGGCCGTTCTCCTTGTCCACTTCATCACAATCATCATATGACTCCTCCTCCATCTCCTCCTCCTCCGTCCGGCCCACATTGTGGATCCCCAGCAGCAGGCCGTAGTCCATGATCCTCAGACGCACCAGTAACTAGATAGATAGCGAGCGAGAGCCCCACAGAAGACAAACGTAACACAGTTAGCCACTTATAACAGATCAGTCACATTTGTCTATATACATCTTTTCTCCCTCCCTACACACACTGGGGCATCCCTCCCAGCCACTCTGCACGTATGTATAATGTGCTGCTGTGCTACTGATGCTGTGCCCTGTCTCTGACACTCGCCTTCACGTCTCTGTTGAGCTTGTCCATGATCCTCTCCTTCTCCTCCTCTCTCACATAAACCTTCTGCATGTTATTCCTGAAGTTCACATCTTTGCGCATGGGCAACTTTTCACCTGAAAACACGATGAAAGAGAGGGGAGAGAGAGCAAGTGAACAAGATAATCAATTTAAAGATAAAGTTCCTCCAGAAAGTATTCATACCCTTTGACTTATCCCACATTTTGTTGTGTTACAGCCTGAATTAAAAATGGATTAAGTAGATTTTTTTTCTCACCCATCTACACACAATATCCCATAATGACAAAGCTAAAACATGTGTTTAGACGTTTTTGCAAATTGATTGTCTCATTTACATAAGTCAATACATGTTAGAATCACATTTACATTTTAGTCATTTAGCAGACGCTCTTATCCAGAGTGACTTACAGTTAGTGCATACATTTTCATACTGGCCCCCTGTGGGAATCAAACCCACAACCCTGCCGTTGCAAACGCCATGCTCTACCAACTGAGCTACACGGGACCACCTTTTCTTTGGCAGCGATTACAGCTGTGAATCTGTCTGGGTAAGTCTCTAAGAGCTTTGCACACCTGGATTGTACAATATTTGCACATTTTCCTTTTTAAAATTCTTCAAGCTCTGTCAAGTTGGTTGTTGATCATTGCTAGACAGCCATTTTCATGTCTTGCCATAGATGTTCAAGCCGATTTAAGTCAAAACTGTAACTAGGCCACTCAGGAACATTCAATGTTGTCTTGGTAAGCAACTCCAGTGTATATTTGGCCTTGTGTTTTAGGTTATTGTCCTGCTGAAAGGTGAATTTGTCACTCAATGTCTGCTAGAAAGAAGACTGGACCAGGTTTTCCTCTTGGAGTTTGCCTGTGCTTAGCTCTATTCAGTTTATTTTTATCCAAAAATACTTGCCCCAAACATAACACTTTGTATTCAGGACATAAAGTTAATTTCTTTGCCACATTTTTTGCAGTTTTACTTTAGTTGCTTATTGCAAACAGGATGCATGTTTTGGAATATTTGTATTCTGTACAGGCTTCCTTCTTTTTACTTTGTCATGTAGGTTAGTATTGTGTAACTACAATGTTGTTGAGCCATCCTCAGTTTTCTCCTGTCACAGGCCGGCTCATAGCCTGTGGCAAAAATGAGTGGTTAGTGAAGCAGTTTTAAATACCCTGAGCACAGGTGGCTCCAATCACACCAACTCCAATCACTAACGACCCTCCTCTGCCTGCAGGAGGAACCGCCCCTGCACTGCAGAGGGGCCGTGACACCCCCCTCCTTAAAATGAGGGTCCCACCCTCAACCCAAATTATGACCCAACATATTTAAAACAATCCAAAAACCAAAAAAAACAGATACCAGTCCCGGCTTCTAACAGTAGCCCCGTGTCCGCTAGCTGACTGTCCGTCCTCAAACTCAGCAGCCCTGGTACCTGGGGAGCAATTGAAGAGAAAGGAGGCACAGACAGCCCGCAGGGGTCAGCAGAGAGAAAATACAAACTAGGCTAAAGGAGCACGGGACAGAGCATCAGCAATGATATTATCCTTACCACCAATATGTCTAATATCGAGGTTGAATCGTTGCAAGAACAAAGCCCAACGCATCAGGCGCTGGTTTGGATTTTGCACGGACTTCAGAAAAATAAGTGGGTTGTGGTCAGTAAACACAGTTACAGGGGTTAAACCAGAACCAACATAGACCTCGAAGTGCTGTAAAACCCAAATGAGACCTAAAGCCTCCTTTTCAATTACAGAATAGTTTTGCTGATACATTTCCGGGAAAAGAAACTGACTGGACATCATTTTCCTGGAGAAGCCCCAGCACCAATTTGACTGGCATCTACCTGCAATTTGAAAGGTTTCCCAAAATGTGGTGCTGCCAACACAGGTGCCAAACACAAAAGAGCCTTAACTGCATCAAATGCCTCTTGACACTGGGTGGACCAGATAAATTCAGCCTTGGCCTTCAACAGATTGGTCAGGGGGGACACTACTACCGAAAAGTTTACAGAAAGCACGGTAGTACCCCGCCATTCCCAGGAAGCGCATCAGTTCTTTCTTTGTGGAGTGCTGTGGGAACTGCTTCACAGCCTGAACCTTGGCTTCCACGGGACAGACAACACCCTGACCCACAACCTTGCCTAGGTATGTGACTGTAGCTTTAGCAAACTCACACTTTGCCAAATTGATGGTCAACCTGGCCCACACCAGTCTTTCGAACAGGGCTTGCACTCTACAGACATGCTCCTCCCAAGAGTCTGAGTATACGACCACGTCATCCAAATACACGGCACACCCTTCCAGACCTGAGACCACCCGATTCATCAGCCTCTGGAAGGTGGCTGGAGCATTCCGCAAGCCGAAAGGCATCACTGTATAAGAGAACAAACCAGATGGAGTTATAAAGGCAGCAATCTCACAAGCTCTTTTGGTAAGGGGTACTTGCCAATATCCCTTTAAGAGATCAAATTTGCTAACCCAACTTGATCAATACAGTCCTCCATCCTAGGAAGAGGGTAAAGGTCTGCATGGAGGAATGGGCCAAAATACCAGCAACAGTGTGTGAAAACCTTGTGAAGACTTACAGAAAACGTTTGACCTGTGTCATTGCCAACAAAGGGTATATAACAAAGTATTGAGAAACTTTTGTTATTGACCAAATACTTATTTTCCACCATAATTTGCAAATAAATTCATTAAAAATACTACAATGTGATTTTCTGGATTTTTTTCCTCATTTTGTCTGTCATAGTTGATGTGTACCTATGATGAAAATTACAGGCCTCTCTCATCTTTTTAAGTGGGAGAACTTGCACAATTGGTGGCTGACTAAATACTTTTTCCCCCACTGTAAATGTTTACATTGAAATGGTGCTGTAATAGCGGAGGCAGTGCTCCTGTTGTCTTTGTGCTGACTTGTGGTAACTCTGTGGTTCTAAATCAGTAGTTGTTTAGTAAACTGCTTGTTGCTTGACCATGCTGCAGGTCATATACCTGTTTGTTACATGCAATATTTGCTTTGTGGACTTCACCGGACAGATGTTGATCTCCGGTTTTGTGATGAAACAAACTTATGTGTAGTTGAATCTATTCCGCCACTGTGTGACTGTTGTTTTTTTGTTGTCACTGCGTTATTGTTTATCACGGTGGCATATGAACGAATGGGTTATAGAGCTAACAACACAATTATCACAACATAGGTTGTAATATGGCTTTTTTACTGTCTTGGCTTCCTCAGAGATTTTACCCATGCACAGCTACTGCTTGGTTTCTTAACCCTGTGCCACAAATGCAAAAACATTGGCATGTGGAAACAGCGCCAGGGAAACTAAACCAAAGCATGGATTGCTGTCATACCTTGTCCATAATCTGTTTAAAGGGTAAGGAAACCAATGTGTCATTTTGTAATTTGGATAAACTATCCCTTTAATTTAGGAAATATATTCCCAAGTATTCCCACGAATACAAAAAGAGACATATGTGATTGTGTCTCAATGTAATCAAGGTATGAAATTATTGTTATTTTTGGGCTTAGTTGTGGTTGATTTGAAATGTACAAATTATTATAATTATGTTCCGGCACCCCGACCATCCGTTTCAACAAAAATCGTCCCGCGGCTGAATCTAGTTGCCTACCCCTGACATAGGCTATCAAAGCCACAGAGCTTATAAAGACTCACCATGTTGGAGTGTGTTGGTATGCATACCTGATAATCCAGATCCTCGATTCCAAAATGCTCTCGGAGATTGCGGAACACCTGTGGACAATACTCTTTGAACTTGAAATGTCCTGGAAGAGTCTCTCTGTAGAGGAACAAATAATAGGGATCATACAAAGTGTAACTATTGTTACTGTTTATTACAGCATTATAAGCGTTACTAAATGTTGTTTAGGATTACTGATGATCTGAAGGTTATATGGTTATATGGTTATTATCATATAAATCATACAAATAGAATGAATGGGAATGCCCATTCTGCTCATTCTAATTCTATGGTTTTTATAAGGTTAGGCCTATATGAATTCAACATTCACAAACATTAGGACAATAATTATATATATTGTAGACAATCATGAGAAACTCCAGAACAAGACTTCAACTTAATGACCTGACACACTACACTCTTAGAAAAAAGGGTTCCAAAAGTGTTCTTCGCCGCTCCCCATAGGATAACCCTATTTGGTTCCAGGTAGAATCCTTTTGGGTTCCATGTAGAACCCTCTGTGGAAAGGGTTCTACATGGAACCCAACGGAGTTCTACCTGGAACCAAAAAGGGATCTTCAAAGGGTTCTCCTATGGAGACAGCCGAAAAACCCTTTTAGGTTCTAGATAGCACCTTTTTTTCTAGGAGTGTACTGCTATTAACCCATGAAGACATGGATATCATTTGGCCTCTTTTCTATCAGTTTTTTCTCCCTGTATCTCCCTCTCTGTCTCTCCCAACTTGAGGCAGGAATTTCACACTTCATTGTTCAGAAATGGGACACCACGCTGCTAACCACTCACACAAGTACACTCAGCTGTGTGGTACCGCTTAGGGAGAGAACCAGAGACGATAACAGACAAATACATATATCAGAATGAGCATTTCTGCACAACTTGTGCAATTTAGTTCAATAACTGATTAATATTGGGAATAATGTACTGAAGAATAATCTGAGGACAAGCTCATTGTGCAACGACCATTTTGGATGAGTAGGTATTGCAGTCCAGGGGCTAATGTAAAAATAGCATACAATAGCATTGCAATATTAATTGGATGAATAATAATGGAAGGCATTTCAGAGGACATCTGATTGATATTATGATATTATGACACCTATTATTTAAAAATATTTCAAAGGACTTTTTCAATGTTGTGAAAAAAATCCACTAAATCTCATTTAGGTTTATATAGTTTATGGTCTCTGCCTCGGAAACATGCAGGACCCCACTGTCCAATCCCTAACAACACAGAGACGTCAGAGCAGCCAATCTCTGGCCTTGGACAAATACTAATACGACACACACACACACACGCACACACACACAAACACACACACACACACACACACAGACACACACAGACACACACAGACCCTCTCTGTGTCCGATGCCTTTCACATTCCTTACAGTGGACATGTCATCGTGAGTCTAATTGCGTTGGCTACTTAGCCGTTGAGCGTCATGGCGTTCATGTGAGCTGAGCTGCACCCAGAGATTAAACAATCCATCTCCCACTCCTCCTCTGGTCCACACACAGGAGATGTCTTTCCCTTTTAGCATACTAGGAGCACTTTACTGTAAATTCTCCTCCTTATACAACCTGCAAGGCTGCAAAGCTCTCAACAATGCTTTGGGTCAAAGCGCTCAACAACGCTTTGGGTCAGTGTTTTCCACAAACACTCCCAATCTTTGCACAATATGCCGCTTCATAGGTAGTTCTCACCTTTGAAATTCAGATAGGCCTACATAGACAAACCTATCTTCTAATATTCAATTACTAGCAAATTGGTTTGTGGAGAGACACATCAGGTTTGAATAGAACAGAACAAGTCAAGAAGGGAATTTATAATCAGATTACCTGATGATTAACTAACTCTCCACTTGAGTATGGATCAATATATATATTATTTATGTTGTTACTCTTTGACAAACATTGAATGCAGTGAGTAGGCTATAGGCTACAGTACTTGTTGAAGAGATGGTTGCTGACTTTGATTTTGGTATTGGCTTTGAAGTCATCAGGAAGATGCATGACAGGGTCAGGCACCTGGACCAGGTCATTAATCTGCAGACAGTGGACACTGTTAGAACACACACACACACGCACACACACACACACACACACACACACACACAATAATAATATCAACAAAAACATGAATTTCATCGACATACCGAGTGATTGACTCCCCACATAAGGACACAGAACAGGGTCACTGGCTTGGAACACCTCCACTTTCTGCTGTACAAAATGTTTCTTCTTTGTCTTCGTTTTGGGAACCAGGATACTCAAAGGGCTCGAGGTGGCACCCGGAGAAACCATTGCGCCGTTTATGTAAACAATATTGCGCCGTTTAAGTAAACAATAATCTGAACGGGTTACAACACTATTTTGTTTACATGAATTCACCTTGGTGCACCGGTTTGCCGCTCTCCTTTTGCCTTCTTATTTAAGTGTTTGACTAAGGTTGATCCATTAGTTGCCGAAAGACAACCTTAGATTACATCAAAGAAACTCGCCAACATCTGGCATCACCTGCCCAGTGTCGCATGTCCAGCCTAGTACGAGAGGTGTGCGAGGATTTATGCGCTCCGCCCTCAACAAATGCAGCAAAACAAGCAACTTCTCATTCAATTCCCTTAGATTTTTACATTACCTGTCCTGAACAATTGTTCCATATTGTTGCCTACCTAGGATATATTTGCATGATCATAAAAGGCTAGAATATGGTTTAGATTATGCCAATGAGACTGTACAGGTTCCCACTTCCCTAAAATTCAAATGTGTTTTGTAACATTTAATTGCAACTTCAACCTTATTCTGGACAAATCGAGTAGGGTTACAGTGCATTCGGAAAGTATTTAGACCCCTTCACTTTTTCCACATTTTGTTACATTACAGCCTTATTCTAAAATTGATTAAATCATTTGTTTACTCATCAGTTTACACACAATATCCCATAATGACAAAGCGAAAACAGGTTTGTCGAATTTTTGATATTAAATTTTTTATATGACATTTACATAAGTATTCAGACCCTTTGCTATGAGACTCGAAATTGAGCTCAGGTGTATCCTGTTTTGCAAAAATGTCTACAAACCTGTTTTTGCTTTGTCATAATGGGTTATTGTGTGTAGAGTGATGAGGGGGAAAAAACTATTTAGTCAATTTTAGAATAAGACTGTAACATAACAAAATCTGGAAAAAGTCAAGGGGTCTGAATACTTTCCGAATGCACTGTACATGAGAACTTTCCGAATGCACTGTACAGGTCGTCCTTCCTAATTCAGTTTGTGGAAATGGAAAAAAAAAAAAACAGTCTTTGTTTGTTTGTGTGTGTGTGTGTGTACTGTGTCCATCTGTATATAAAGTTGCACATGCCGACTAATTGATTTATCATTCCTGTCTGTTGTCTGGAGAATCTGTGTATTCTGTGTCTTTATTATAAGTCTCAGATTGTGTTTTTGGATGTTTTATTTGATTTTTTACTTTAAAACTTTGAAGAGCATACCAACTCCAAGCCTCTGTGGCTTTAGAAATTGTCATGGTAACTCTGAGAGCCAGCCTTGAATTGTTCCTGGTCATATGAGAAAAATTTCTGGATTAAGGGCACACAGCCCAGCCATTACAACCATAGCAAAGCTATTTTCAGTCACAAACAGGTTTTTGTTGAACTGTAGAACGCATGCTGTTATGAGGCTCAAATGGAACCTCTAAAACGTATATTATAAAGCAGGTAATCTTCAGAAGACATCTGGGACTAGTAAACTTACCCATCAACATCAGTTTGCTTTTAGTGTGCTTCCACTCAGAGACATTCAACGATAAAATGTCACATTTATTTATGTATTAAAAATGGTCAACATAAATAATTACATCAATAAAACATTATGTTCAGCAGGTACAGTACAAAATAAAATGTTTTGTCATGCCCAATAGAAAACAAAACGCTTAAATAAAATGTAAAATCATTATCAAAAATACATACTGTAAATTAAATAATACATCAGCTTTTAATTTATATATGTATACAAAATACTATCTTATAGTATTAAAAGGAGTCTGCTCAGCTGCAATGTCAGTAAAAAGGTTGGAGGTGCTCCAGTAGTGCTTGATCCTGGAGTTTAAACATCAGAATAATGTCAGATTTAAGAGCATATTATAAGAGAGACATCATCAGAGACAAGCCTGATCACTAGGCCTAGACTGTCATGGGACACAGCGGGTAAATGGGATTGGCTATGTAGTTTACTACTAAAATGAACTCACAACTCTGCGTTATAGCACAGAGTACAGATTTAGAAATTAAAACAAAGTGCATAGCAATTCCATACCAATCTAGTCTCCGCTCAGGAACCTACTTGGTAAATCATCCGTTTCTTGTCTGTAATGCCATAATACATCACTAGAGGGCGCTGTGAGACCAAACTAACAGGGATGGAGAAAGAGAATGAACATCAGAAATGCAATTGGAAGGATTGTGCTTGTAGGTAGCATGGCTGGGCTCAATTCGAATTGAAGGCAGTCAATTCAGGAAGTAAACTAAAATTACAATTGAATAATCGAAAAAAGTGCATTTATTTTCAATGACTTCTCAAACTGAAAAGTAGAAGATATATATTAAAGAAAAAAAGTAAATGTCTGAATTTTAAATTCAAATCACTTCCTGAACTGACTGCCTTCAAAATCGAATTGAGCCCAACCCTAGTAGGTAGTAGTGTAGTCGGGTGAATTTGTATATGTCCCAAATGGCACCTTATCCCTTACATAGTGCACTACTTAGGGAATAGGGTGCCATTTGGGACGTAAACCTTGGCTTGTATCAGCCATTTACTGTCCAGCACTTTGGAAAGTGCTTCCTCCTCCATCCCTCTCTTTTTCTCCTCCTCTATGCCTCTCTTTTATCCTCATCTTGCACTTCTTCTCTTCCTCTTGATCCTCACCCTATGGCCCATATTCCAGACTGCAGGATGTGGTGGGCTGGACAGTGCCCTTTCATGCGTTGTCACAGATCAGGGTGCCCTCTGGGCTTGTGTGTGATGGTGTTGGTATGCCACTCTCGTCCACACACCAGCAGTGGCCGCGATGCATGCCCCGAGACGACCGACACTGCCAGAGGGGACACACAGTGATAAAGCATATTTGAGATGTGAATTGTTGTATAGGATACAACAACTACACACACACACATGCACACACATGTTACTGACCAGGCATAGTCATAGACTATCGAGCACAGCTTGCAACTCAAGATTTGAGTTAGCCCACTGAGCTCCTGTTTAGGCAATGTTATACTCATCATGCAAGCAAGCATAGTTCGGTTAACCACGTCTGCTACAAATACAGTCTGATTATAAACCTACCTGCTTCTTTCTGAAGAAACCATGCTTGTCACAGTTGGGCATATATATATCAGCAAAGTCTGACTTGAAGACCAGGGGCTGCAGACCTTTAAGTACATTGTTCAGCAGTCTACGGCATGGAGCCTAGAGAGAAGAGAGAAAGAAAGAGAGTTTTCATTATTTAAAGAAAACACTACCTCATATACTTGTTATATTGTCATTCAATTCTATTGCTCAACACAATCCTCCTAACATCCATCTGTAAGTAAATACAAGGGATTTTACCTTCTCCAGGTCTTCACTGGGTGTCGGGTGTGTGGCTGGAGAAATACATGACAGCATCTTTAGCATAGTGATGGATTACATTACCACAGTAACTGATTGATTACTGAGATATCTGATGAATGCAGTGGCAGAGACAAACCAGTAGGTAGAGTTGTATATCATGTTCACAGATTGGCACGACAGGTTGTAGAGCAGGGCTCTCCAACCCTGTTCCTGGAGAGCTACCATCCTGAATTAGCTTCGTTACAACTGAGGTTGGATTGAAAACGTACAGGAGAGTAGCTCTCCAGGAACAGGGTTGGAGAGCCCTGTTGTAAAGTAAAAGTACTAGCTGCTGGTGATTTGAGGTTAACATGACGTAATTTTGATTATTTAAGAGAATAACATTTCCCACACCCAAAACAAATTAATTCCTGGTAGAGTCTGAACAGATCTATTTTAAACTTGTGGCTGAGTTTGGAGCACTGCATACTAAGACTTGGTTCTGCCTCCACAATGTAAACTACTGTCAATTGTGTGCTCCATTACATCCTAGCTGTATTTCTCTGAAGCTTACTTCTGATTCACTAATGTTCTACTTCCACAGTCCAATACAATCTCACAATCGGGACCTTTCTTGTCACAACGAAGTCATCAGCACAACATCTACATCTTTATTTGTCTAAAATATACAGTGCCATGTCCTGAGCAGGAAAAACTGGGCCTTAGTTATACAGGCTATAACTAGGTCATGTGAACTGTCTGCAGAGGCTAAATTTACCATTGATTTTAGTTTACAATACCCCCTCCTCCACCCCTACTCTGTGCTGTAGTAGGTGCTTACCTGTGGGTTGGGGCCTCTCAGAAGGGCTGGGCCCGCTGGTGTTGCTGCAGACTCCCCTGCCCTGCAGCAGGGCCTGGAGGGGTTTGGGGTACCCCAGTGGTGGGGTGCAGCGGAGTCCACGGTCACAGCTCAGAGTGTAGACCCCACAGGGCTCCCCCAGGGCCAGGACAGTGGTGCTGAGCTCCCCAGACTGCTGCCTCTGTGTGGGGGCCCTGGCCACCTGTGAGCCCTTACTGGAGGGATTCCCTCCTCTGAGAGTAGGCAGCTGGTAGGCTAGCGTCCACGAGCTGGAGAGGGCAAGCTGGAGGAAGAGCAGGGCCAGAAGGTCAGGGTACAGAAGCATGTTTCCTGCAAGATACACGTTGTCCACCAACAATGAGTAAGTAATAGTCCAGGAGGTTCCTATTTGTTTCAATGCCAGGTAGGCTGTTGTCTGAGGTTTATTCTTATTCAGCTCAGTTCCAGTTGTGCGTTGGGAGATGCGAGGCAGTGTGGATAGGAATCTCCAGCTATGACAGAGCGATAATGAAGCAGACAGACACCAGAGACAGCTGCTTTTAAAGAGCCAAAAGGTGGAGAGAGAGGGAGGGGGAAGGAAAGCGGGAGAGAGAAATATTAGTCTCCGCTCTCGTTTTCAGATTGCTGAGCACACTCCCACTTCCCCTTGTCTCTGACATGCCTTTCTTTTACCAGGGCCAGCTGGTGAAATAGGGTTAGCCCTACCTAACCCCATCATGAATGTATCATTATTGCTGTTTCATATTCAGCATGATTGTTTTCCCACCAGTAATACATTTGATGTATGTGTTTTACGAGTAAGCATTACTGAGCAATTTATTCAAATGACAAATCGGGACATGAGAACATTAGTTTATCGAAAACATATTTGTGGGATTGAGTGTCCTCTTCCGTGTAGGCCTATAGAAACTGAGAAAAACCCTTGTACATGTAATCTGTGTTTTGATGGCTATTATAGGATGAAGAAGCCTGATAATGAATTTGGACAGTTTCCAACAGCAATCGTGTTCATTTTAAGATATATTGTTGGAACAATATACTCAACAAGTACATCAAACTTCCAGAGTGGGTTCTCTGCTAATTCCTCTGTAGCTCAATTGGTAGAGCATGGCGCTTGTAACGCCAGGGTAGTGGGTTCGATCCCCGGGACCACCCATACGTAAAAATGTATGCGCACATGACTGTAAGTCGCTTTGGATAAAAGCGTCTGCTAAATGGCATATTATTATTGTATTATTATTATTAATATTATTATGAGCACCACCAACACAGTGGATGGAAATGGATTCAAAGGGACCTCCCTCTGCTGGTGATTTGCTGAATGTGCAATCCTAATGGAGGGCTGTAATTAGTTAATGACCTATAATGTCATTTTTTTTGTATAAAATTGGTGATATCATTAAAAGTACCAGAAAGCCTACGCTGGCATGGAGTCGCCAACATGAATAATTCTTCCATCACAGGAAACGCATTCCTCTGTGTGTGTGTCATGATAATGGACTAGTGAAGGATTAATTTGAGTGGGATGACCACCTCTTTAAATCATGACTTATTTTAGAAAAACTGTTTTTAAAAAGAACGCTGTTTGATGCTAAAGCCAATCTGGCAACGAATATGTAAAGGCAGGACAATTTGCTGACAGTCCACGGTCCTAACGCTGTTTGGTTCACACGTTTCACAATCGAAAATGTTCCAAGCAATGTGCCAGAATCTATGGATGATTTTACCTATGGAAGCCCTCCCTTTCCACACCTAACTATTGTAACCCCCACACAACTCAGAATTCCCCCTTACACACGCCTCCGCCACATAATTACTGTCCTTTATTATTTTACTGTCACCTCAAATTCTCTCTCTCACTCATCCTCCAATCCACACACGCACACGTTTCATTGATGTTTACCACCACAAGTAGTATAGGCTAATACAAATGTTCACTGTCAAGTGCCTTGTCAATTTTGATGATCATGCTCTTTGAAAAGTAAACTACTACTTTCAGAACGTACTACCATGGAAATATGTTTGCCCCTATAATATAGTCTACCCATAATACCATACTATTAATTCAACAGCTACAATAAAGAGTCGTTTATTTAGATTGCTGATGCAAGAGCTCGAAGTTTCCGCCGGAAACGTACATTTTCTAGAACGTAAATGTATCATGATGTCATTAGAAGGCGCCATTTGCACTCTGCGGAATTTGTTTTGATGGAGCTCGACGTACTTGAAATTTGTAAACAACAACGAATATAGTAGTCTAAAGACAAGGTGGGCAACTTGTGTGTGTTTTATAAATAAACAAAAAATTTCCGGACGTGTGAGACTATGTGCTGCGTACGGACGGAGCTATGCTCTTCCTGTGTGTGAAGTCACTAAGTGCTTGATGTGGATAGCTAGCAACCTAGCCAGCCAGCTAGCTAGCTATTTCCCTGGGGCGTAATAATTAGTCCAAACAGTTGCAAAACGTTCCGGTAAGTCCCTCCCCGTTTCGTTCCGTTTAAGAAACGTTTTGCAACAGAATCGGCGAATGAGTACACCCCTGCTGTTGTAACGTTAGCGATGCAGTTGGCAGCTGTAGCTAGTTAACTTAGCTATTTGTCATGAATTGCTAGCTAGGTAAGTATATAGCTAGCTAGTGTATTAAACCGTAAATTAAATGTGTTATTATTAGACACCCTCACCCAAGCTTGCTACCTTTGCCAGTCACTTCTTTTTCAGTTTGATCCAACTGAACCAAACAATGCCGGTGCAACACCGACCACGTCTGAGTCCATAATCTGTGTGTGGAGCCTGTTATTCATATGAAGCCGTATGTTAAAAATTATATGAGAGTAGGGGATAAGCACCTCATTGTTCATGTCTCTGTTCTCAGGTAAGCGATGGACGACATCAACCTCCATTACCGCTTTCTGAACTGGAGGCGGAGGATCCGGGAGATTCGCGAGGTGCGGTACCGCGAGCGGTTCAAGAGGATGCTGAGGGATGGAGAAGTGCTCAGGTGGGCATGAAAACTGTCAGAATCACTTTTATTCGCCAATTACATTTACACACCCGGAATGTTACTTGGTGAAGTGTAGTATGAGAGATAATGACACTTTAGCCAGCGTTCCTCTATCCTGGTTCTGGGTAAGGAATGTAAAGAGAAGGAACAGTCAGATAATAATAATATACCATTTAGCAGACGCTTTTATCCAAAGCGACTTACAGTCATGCGTGCATACATTTTTGTGTATGATCATTGTCAGTCACAAGTTACCCAAATTCCTGGTTCTGGGGATCCACCTGGTCAATAACATCAAATCGGTGATGCATTCTGGGTAAATTGTGACCGACTGACTGATCTACAAATAAATAATAATAAATTATAATGCAAGGTGATTTTTGCAGTCGATGTCGAACAAGCCTGCTGTGAGTGGAGGCTTTTGTTGCAGCCCAGTAGTAACACAATTATTCAATCATTAAAGTTGTGAGTTGACTCAGGTGTGCTAGTTTGTACTTAACCTCGTCCCCAGGCTCAATTGCTACCTCATATAGAGCCTGGAAACACTGTGCAACAAATTGGGACTTGAAAGGGGCATGGGTTAAAATCGAGACGAGAGAGCGAGCCTGCTACAGTTGTATTAGATGGGACAAATCGGCAATAAAAATAAACGTTCTATCGCGGCGACCATATTATTTTTGGGAAGCCCGATTTCCCGAACTCACTTCCTTGTTTAGCCTAAATCAATCAGCGAATTCGTTTTGCGTGGCCCGGTTCCCCAGGTGGGTGGAGATTTATCTTTAGGACCAATGGAATGGTTGATAATGAGCTAACCCCGCCCACCTGGGGCATCGGGCCATGCAAAACGAATTCACCTACTTGCACTGCTCATGCTTTGAAATCCACAATGTAGAGGGGAGGTTCTAAGAGTTGCGCTAGATGGTGATGGACTGAGAGATCAGCCAATTAAAACCAGCAGATGTTTCGTCTGCTCCTGCCATAGACTTCCAGTCAAGTTCCGTCCTGAGGCGCTCGGAAACCAGACACCTCTAAAGAAGGAGAGCCTGCTGGTGGGCAAGATTAGTTTGTACTGGGACCAGGATTGATTGCTTCAGACCAGGGGTCTCCAACAGATAGATCGCAAGCTACCAGAAGCTCGCAGCCCACCTATGAGTAGCTCGCCAATCAATTCTGAAAGTACATCAATTTTCCATCGCAAACTGTCAATCAAAGCCACATTGACATTATCCCACCCTTGGTTAGCCACTATTGGCTTAAAAAGCCAAACGTAACACAATATCTGCCAATTAATTTTCAGCAATTGTCAGTCTTTCACTCTGTATGTAGCCAGTTAGACATACTAATGATAACCGTCTTGTGGGTATACAGAAAGACTTTCCCCAAAAACCTTCTAAGTTAAATGTTAACTGCAGAATAGGCTTACCTGACATAACTATATAATTGGGTGGCCATTGTTTTGCAAACTCTGCCATGACGTGTTGCAGCAGTAGGCCTAACAGCAGAAACATCTCTAGACCGACACATTCCTTTCTTGCTAGATGCGCAATTAAAGGGGAATTACACTCAAATCAAAATGGTCTTCTGATTTGATTTAAGCATTGTCATGGACACAGAACATTCATTTTCGTTGTGTCTCTATTAATAATTGTAATATTGAGAGTAAAAACCAAAACAATCCCAAACCAGGAAAAATAAAACAGAACAGACAGAATTCAGGAAAATACCAAATACAATTTTATTGTGCCCTTTAGAGTTGTTTATTAACCATTATTTTACCAGGTATATTGACAGAAAACACATCTCTTGTACCCAGGGAAGAGTTGCAGGGTAGAGGAGCAGAGAAGAATGTGCCTATTTGAAAGCTATAGAAAAAAATGAGTAGCTTGTGACATTTTTCTTTTTTTTCAAAGTAGCTCCTCATGCATGAAAAGGTTGGAGACCCCTGCTTTAGACTCATACTTTCTTTCACACTGTACTCCTCTTACTGACTTGGCTGGCCTGTACTGTCCACAAGTTAAAGAACAACTGTATGTTGTGTAGCATATGTTTGTTGCATACATTTGCAAATGCGATACGATTAATGTAAACTAATTTCTGAAATTCCGTTACAGTTACCAAGGGAACTCTGATGAAGTTGGCTGCTACGTGGCTCCAAGGCCGTTATCCAAAGGGAACTGCTACTTTGAGGTAGGCTTCAATACAGAGTTAGTTACAGTGCCTTCAGAAAGTGTTCACACTCCTTGACTTTTTCCACATTTAGTTGTGTTTACAGCCTGAATTTAAAATGGATTAAATTGAGCTTTTTTTTGTTACTGGCCTACACACAATACCCCATAATGCCAAAGTGGAATGATGTTTTTTGACATTTTTACAAATTAATTAAAAATGGAAAGCTGAAATGTCTTGTCAATAAGTATTCAACCCCTTTTTGTTATGGCAAGACTAAATAAGTTCAGGAGTAAAAATGAGCTTAACAAGTCACATAATAAGTTGCATGGACTCACTCTGTGTCCAATAATAGTGTTTAACATCATTTTTGAATGACTACCTAATATCTGTACCACACACATACAATTATCTGTAAGGTCCCTCAGTTGAGCAGTGAATTTCAAACACAGATTCAACCGCAAAGACCAGGGAGGTTTTCCAATGCCTTGCAAAGAAAGGCACCTATTGGTAGATGGGTTAAAAAAAAGCAGACATTGAATATCCCTTTGAGCATGGTGATGTTATTAATAACACCTTGGATGGTGCATCAATACACCCAGTCACTACAAAGATACAGGCTTCCTTCCTAACTCCGTTGCCGGAGAGGAATGAAACCGCTCAGGGATTTCACCATGATGCCAATGGTGACTTTAAAACTGCTACAAAGTTTAATGGCTGTGTTGGAGAAACCTGAGGACAGTTCAACAACATTGTAGTTACTCCACACTACTAACCTAATTGACAGAGTGAAAAGAAGGAAGCCTGTAAAGAATAAAAATATTCCAAAACATGCATCCTGTTTGTAGCAAGGCACTAAAGTAATAGTGCAAAAAATGTGGCAAAGCAATTAACTTTTTGTCCTGAATACAAAATGTTATATTTGGGGAAAATCCAATGCAACACGTTACTGGGTACCACTCCATATTTTCAAGCATAGTGGTGCCTGCATCATGTTATGGGTATTCTTGTAATCGTTAAGGACTGGGGAGTTTTTCAGGATAAAAAAGAAACGGAATGGCGCTAAGCACAGGCAAAATTCTAGAGGAAAACCTGGTTCAGTCTACTTTCACCAGACACTGAGAGATTAATTCACCTTTCAGCAGGACCAATAATCTAAAACACAAGGCAACTACACTGGAGTTGCTTACCAAGAAGATAGGGAATGTTCCTGAGTGGCTGAGTTACAGTTTTGACTTAAATCTACTTGAAAATCTATTTTAAGACCTGAAAATGGTTTGAATAATTTTTTTAAGTATAATGGGCCAATGTTGCACAATCCAGGTGTGGAAAGCGCGTAGACTTACCCAGAATGACTCACCGCTGTAATCGCTGCCAAAGTATTGACTCAGGGGTGTGAATTAATTAGATATTTCTGTATTTCATTTTCAATAACTTTGCAAACATTTCTAAAAACATGTTTTCACTTTGTCATTATGGGGTATTGTGGGTGTCATTTTTTAATTCAGGCTTTAACATCAACAATGTGGAATAATTCAAGGGGTATGAATACTTTCTGAAGGCACTGTAGGTTTACCAATATGCATTTAAACATGTGAAAGAAAGCAACAGCAAGCATTTCAACAAGAGAACAAAACGCTCTCCACTTGCGGGAGTTTGGAGAGCGCAAGTGGAGAGACGTACCACAGTAATAATTAATTTTAACAACAAATTCCAAATGCAAACTTCATAAGTTAATTATTAATTTCAAGCAAATTTGAGATACCAAAAGACCAGTAGGCCTATGCTAGTAATTGTTGCTTGATGCCCCATTGCTGGTGAGTTTGCAAAGTAAACAGTTAATATTCTTGATTACCAAAACGTTTTGGAGCTGCATATTTATTTATTTATTTATTATGGCAATCCTCTCGCCCTACAATTTGAATTTTGCGCTGCACCCGATCCTATAGCTGTACAGAAAATCAGCAATCTGTTCTCTAGCTCACCCGACCTGTGTTGATTGACAGTTTGCTGGTCCAACCAAAGGGCAGAGTGTGCGTTTTACTAGCCAATTTGTTTCACGTTTTTTTTGCAAGGGCCGATGTTGCGGCTACTCTCTCTGGCTGCGTGGAGAGTAATCCACAGACTCTGTGCCATAAAATGTTTGACATAACGTTACAACATGGCCAGGCCATCAGTCTCAAGTCAAAGTCGAGTCTTGAGGCTCCAAGTCAAGTCTCAAGTTATTTTATTTTCTATTAAGTTGAGTTTCAAGTCACGTGACTCGAGTCTACTACTCTGGTTAGGTGTCCCTGACTCAAGAATTGGTGATCTTGTAGTTAATTTTGGTCCATTAACTTGACATTAATCATTTGAAGCAACTCTAAACAAATGCACACTGTTTTACCCTGTTCTCAAACTGTTCCCTACTGTAGTATAGGCTAGTGTTTTGACAGTTCAAGTCGAGCATCGTAAGTCTGAGCCCATCACCAGTCACACCCTGTAGATTAACTGATGTCTACGCTCAGAGAACTGCACAGTTGCTAAATTTAGCTGACACATTTTATTAAAAATAGTTTGCAGACCCAAAGCGTGTTATTTTTGGACCCTTTCTTTTTTAACAAATTATCTGACAAATGGATCAAACATGGTAGTTTTTCCAGTGTAAAATAATGCAGTGTGTAACATAACTCCCCAGTTATTCACCAGTACCTTTTTTAATAAGAGTCCCTCCAGGCTAAATCATAAAGGCAGCAGGCTTGTTAAAAATCATCCTGGGTTTTGGGAAAGCTCAGGAAAGAAGGACTTGGCTGTACATTTTGGGATAGGGAAAGGTCTGGTTCTGGTGTGTAGTGTTGGCTTCCTGAGCCTACTGTATGCTATGCCAGGGCAGTGAGTGGGTATGGAGGTAGAGTGATTTGTGAAGGAGTCCTGCTGGTGTCTATGTGAGTCCCAAATGGCACCTGTCCCTATTCCCTTTAAAGTGTACTACTTTTGACCAGGACCTATAGGGCTCTGGTCAATAGTAGTGCACTATATAGGGTAACAGCATGCTATTTGGGATGCACAGTATGAAGTTGGAGGACTGATTGGGCAGACATAATGAGTGTGACTGAACGCCCGCGCCTGATTTAACTTTCATGGAAGGAAAATCATATCCCACTTTTCAGGAATGGACACATCTTAAAGGGTAGGTAGCATAAATGTAACCACATGTAATATATAGATTTGCATTAAAATATGCATAACAAAGTCCCAATGCAAAGTCACACCTCACTTTAAAAATGTTTAAGTTATTACATCAAATTTATCAGAATGCCTAAGTCATGCCGGGAAAAAGCATTTGCGGGTTGTGACGTAATATGGAGGACCCGGTAAACCAGCCTATTCCCTATAATGTAAACTCCAACAGAAATAACTTCAAATAATTTGCACTCATGACTACTGGTTTCAATTAAATGTTCAGCCAAAATACAAGCAAATTCTTAATGAATGTATAGTTACAAATCAGTTTGCAAGTTTACTAGTCTGCTAATGTTAGCACTACCAGCCTGCTAACGTTACGTTAGCACTGCGTGAGTCAGCGTTGCTATCAACACCTAGCTTACAGCTACATTAAAGTAAACCAAGGTTTTGGAAATACATAACTCTTTGTCAGAAAACTAGCCTAGCTAGCCAACCACCAAGGTCGACATAGCAAAGCGAGGAACCCCCAGAACACAACAAAAAAAGCCAGCAGATATAAAGCAGAGAGAGCGGAGACTTCAAAGAAGTGCCAAGGAGAGGCCTTCAGAGCGATAGGCCATTTCACCGGCCGAAGGAGAGTCGGGTAATCCAATAGAGATATACAGTGGGGGGAAAAAAGTATTTAGTAAGCCACCAATTGTGCAAGTTCTCCCACTTAAAAAGATGAGAGAGGCCTGTAATTTTCATCATAGGTACACGTCAACTATGACAGACAAAATGAGAAAAAAAAATCCAGAAAATCACATTGTAGGATTTTTAATGAATTTATTTGCAAATTATGGTGGAAAATAAGTATTTGGTCAATAACAAAAGTTTCTCAATACTTTGTTATATACCCTTTGTTGGCAATGACACAGGTCAAACGTTTTCTGTAAGTCTTCACAAGGTTTTCACACACTGTTGCTGGTATTTTGGCCCATTCCTCCATGCAGATCTCCTCTAGAGCAGTGATGTTTTGGGGCTGTCGCTGGGCAACACGGACTTTCAACTCCCTCCAAAGATTTTCTATGGGGTTGAGATCTGGATACTGGCTAGGCCACTCCAGGACCTTGAAATGCTTCTTACGAAGCCACTCCTTCGTTGCCCGGGCGGTGTGTTTGGGATCATTGTCATGCTGAAAGACCCAGCCACGTTTCATCTTCAATGCCCTTGCTGATGGAAAGAGGTTTTCACTCAAAATCTCACGATACATGGCCCCATTCATTCTTTCCTTTACACGGATCAGTCGTCCTGGTCCCTTTGCAGAAAAACAGCCCCAAAGCATGATGTTTCCACCCCCATGCTGCACAGTAGGTATGGTGTTCTTTGGATGCAACTCAGCATTCTTTGTCCTCCAAACACGACGAGTTGAGTTTTTACCAAAAAGTTATATTTTGGTTTCATCTGACCATATGACATTCTCCCAATCCTCTTCTGGATCATCCAAATGCACTCTAGCAAACTTCAGACGGGCCTGGACATGTACTGGCTTAAGCAGGGGGACACGTCTGGCACTGCAGGATTTGAGTCCCTGGCGGCGTAGTGTGTTACTGATGGTAGGCTTTGTTACTTTGGTCCCAGCTCTCTGCAGGTCATTCACTAGGTCCCCCCGTGTGGTTCTGGGATTTTTGCTCACCGTTCTTGTGATCATTTTGACTCCACGGGGTGAGATCTTGCGTGGAGCCCCAGATCGAGGGAGATTATCAGTGGTCTTGTATGTCTTCCATTTCCTAATAATTGCTCCCACAGTTGATTTCTTCAAACCAAGCTGCTTACCTATTGCAGATTCAGTCTTCCCAGCCTGGTGCAGGTCTACAATTTTGTTTCTGGTGTCCTTTGACAGCTCTTTGGTCTTGGCCATAGTGGAGTTTGGAGTGTGACTGTTTGAGGTTGTGGACAGGTGTCTTTTATACTGATAACAAGTTCAAACAGGTGCCATTAATACAGGTAACGAGTGGAGGACAGAGGAGCCTCTTACAGAAGAAGTTACAGGTCTGTAAGAGCCAGAAATCTTGCTTGTTTGTAGGTGACCAAATACTTATTTTCCACCATAATTTGCAAATAAATTCATTAAAAATCCTACAATGTGATTTTCTGGAGAAAAAAATTCTCAATTTTTCTGTCATAGTTGACGTGTACCTATGATGAAAATTACAGGCCTCTCTCATCTTTTTAAGTGGGAGAACTTGCACAATTGGTGGCTTACTAAATACTTTTTTCCGCCACTGTAGTGAGGTAAATCCACATTGAATTTACCCAGTTTATCTCCATCACTGCTGACACCCACGATGTACCGGTAGGTCGGTAGGAAATAGAGGTTGCATATTAACGCTCGACACAACACCTGGTTTCAGTCATAGTCTCATTCCGAATCCTGCCTTCCACTAGTTATACTAAGCCATCGAAGTCCTCCGGGGTGAAATGAGCACCGCATACAGTAGACGTGCGCACGGTTCCCATACTTCAATCCGCTCGCTTCAATCGGACAAACCGGTCCCGCTTTGAAGCTAGCTTCTCGTTTTTGGGCTACAAATGAGTCGTAACCCCGTCCTTGTGGGTATTACTGCACTAGCTACGAATGACGGAAAACTACTACAACGCTCGGTCGACTACCACTACCAAATGCACAGGAGAAGAGGAGATGCAGTTTTACGCATGTATTTATATGGTTTCTTCTTTGTGGATGTACATAGTAGTTCACCAGTGCTAACACTTGGTTTGGAATGTAATTACATGCTAGCATGGCTAGTAGCTAACGTTAGCCAGCTGGAACTAGCTAGGTAGCACTATGATGTTGAGAAATTGTGCATTGTGGGTAGTTCTGAAGATATCTGAAAATAAGTTAATAAATATGTAAAAATGCTAAAACATAACTATGTTTGTAGTTATAGGTAACCACATCGTGACTACAACTAAGTCTTTGACCAGACTGTGTTGTTACTTTGAGTAAAATGTATGCTTCCTACACTTTTAAAAGTGAATAAAACACAGCCTTGTTTATGGAAACAGAGGACTGAAGCCATGTAATAATTTTTCCCTTGTCAATTTGTCTTTTCTACTTTTTGACACATCCACTGAAATATTCCCATGTTTTCAAGACAATCATTGCCAAACCACTGATTTTATTAATCAATCATGTAACTGGGGTGCTTTCCAACAGCCTATCAGTCAGTTGTCAGCTCAGCCTATCTCCAGAACACCTGTGTACATCTCAGTTGAAGTGTCTTTAAGTCCGAAATGGCACCCTATTCCCTTTAAAGGGGCACTACTTTTGACCAGGGCCCATAGGTGCCATTTGGGACACAGCCCACATCAGTCTGACTGAGGATTTAGGGAGCTCCGAATGGGATTCAGAACGTGATACAATGACACAACATTGAGACAGACTGCTGCATATTCTGTCCCACACTCTAGGGACGGTGCTAGTGAGGTCATGGGGAAGGACTTAATGGTTTCCCCTTTTCAGCACTCTGGATCTGTCAGTGTTCTGATTGCACTCCATCCACTCTTAGAGACCCCCCCCGGGATGATGTCATAATTAATCGCCCTCGGTAGGGAAGTGTGTAGTCGCAGGTGCTCGTGAGCAGCTGTCTGACTGCCACCCCCACAGGGAATCATGAATGATGACTTTTTTCCCTCTGAGCATGTTAGGACTTCTTGCTAATGCCTTTATGGTCATGTTATGGTTTTTAAGTGAAGTGGTCTGTGATGTTTTCAGGTTTAGTTTATTAGGATCCCCATTAGCTACTGTACATGCAGCTGCTACTCTTCCCGGTGTCCACATAAAACGTGCAAATACATGACAAAGTACAGAACAGTGATAAACAAGAACAACATAAGATATTACATTAAATAAATAATTAAATAAGTTATATATATATAGGAAATATAGGACACCAGGAGACAACAGAAATACTATTTACACACTATTCTTATATACAGTAGGTGCTGTGATACATTTACATTTTAGTCATTTTAGCAGACGCTCTTATCCAGAGCGACTTACAGTAGCAATTAGGGTTTAGTGCCTTGCTCAAGGGCACATCGACAGATTTTTCACCTAGTCGGCTCGGGGATTAGAACCAGCGACCTTTCGGTTACTGGCACTACGCTCTTAACCACTAAGCTACCTGCCGCCCTGATACAATATGTTTTTTAAAGCTAAACTTGCTTTTTGCCTGAGTAACCTCTGGTGGCAAAGCATTCCACGACGACATGGCTCTATACATAACTGAGCGACAACAAAATAACAAAAAAGATGCACTGTTGTCAGACCTCGAATAATGCAAAGAAAATAAGTTCATGTTTATTTTTAAACAACACAATACTAATGTTTTAACTAAGGAAGCATTCAGAAATCAATATTTGGTGGAATAACCCTGATTTTCAATCACAGCTTTCATGCCTCTTGGCATGCACTCCACCAGTCTTTCACATTGATGTTGGGTGACTTTATGCCACTCCTGGCGCAAAAATTCAAGCAGCTCGGCTTTGTTTGATGGCTTGTGACCATCCATCTTCCTCTTGATCACATTCCAGAAGTTTTCAATGGGGTTCAGGTCTGGAGATTGGGCTGGCCATGACAGGGTCTTGATCTGGTGGTCCTCCATCCACACCTTGATTGACCTGGCTGTGTGGCATGGCGCATTGTCCTGCTGGAAAAAAACAATCCTCAGAGTTGGGGAACAATGTCAGAGCAAAAGGAAGCAAGTTTTCTTCCAGGACAACCTTGTACGTGGCTTGATTCATGCGTCCTTCACAAAGACAAATCTGCCCGATTCCAGCCTTGCTGAAGCACCCCCAGATCATCACCGATCCTCCACCAAATTTCACAGTGGGTGCGAGACACTGTGGCTTGTAGGCCTCTCCAGGTCTCTGTCTAACCATTAGACGACCAGGTGTTGGGCAAAGCTGAAAATTGGACTCATCAGAGAAGATGACCTTACTCCAGTCCTCCACGGCCCAATCCTAATGGTATTTTGCAAACCTCAGCCTGGCTCTTCTTTGCTTCTCATTGATGAAGGGCTTTGTTCTAGCTTTGCACGACTTCAGCCCTGCCCCTAGGAGCCTGTTTCGAACCGTCCTCGCCGTGCACTTCATCCCAGCTGCCGTTTGCCATTCTTTTTGTAGGTCACTTGATGTCATCCTATGGTTGTTGAGTGACATTCGAATGAGTTGGTGGTCATCCCGGTCAGTAGAGAGTTGTTTTCGCCCTCTGCCGGGTCTGTAGCTTTGTTGTCCCCAATGTCTGCTGCTTGACCTTGTTCTTATGAATCGCCGTCTTTGAAATTTTAAGGATGGAAGCAACCTGACACTCACTGTATCCCTCTGCCAGTAAAGCCAGAATTGAACCCTTCTTTTCCTCACTCAAAACGGTCAATATTTATGTTTTGATTAATATTACTTTTGAGGTACTATTAGCACAGTTTTTGCCATCCAGCTGGTCCTATTGCAAGCGGATAGTGATGGCCACAGCAGTGGATTTTATACTTTTCCTCGTTAAATAAGATTTGGTTCATGTGATCACCTAATCAGTACCTAATTCAGTAGAATGAGGTGTGCCTGTGTTGGAATTCAACAGACACTGGAATGGAATGGCTGTCATACATGTAGAAATGCTAATGTAAGAAATATTTGCAGTGGTCTCTTAATTTTTTCCAGAGCTGTATGTGTGTATATATATATATATATATATATATATATATATATATATATATGAACACACACACCTTTAAAAAATATATTTTCCTTGATTATTTTCCTTTAGCCCTACCACCCCTCCCCTAATTGGAGTATACTAATGAACAGCAACACTTAGGCTTCTACTTCCAGCTGATACATACTATATACATTTTACGGACACAGTATATTTTACATTAGTTATCTTGTTGTTATTAGTCCCACCCTTCAGCTCCACTCAACCCCTCACATCTATCTCTTAACACATCCATATTGAATTTCGATTTGCCAGATATTTTTCAACTGTGCTGTGACAAAAGGTTCTGAACCTTTCCATTCTCATGGTTTCGACAGATTGTAAATTAAAGGTATACATTTTTGCTAAAAGTGTTATTATATTATTGATCGATTGACTGACTGAGTTTTCAAATCACCCAGTAGTGCTATCTACAGAGTTAGCGGCAGGTAAATGTTGCAATTCTACAGTCATTCCTTGACCTGCGACCAAAAATAAGCTACATATGGACAGTACCAAAACTAATGATTGTCTCTTCGCAGCAAAATCTACTGCAGCAATAGAGCTGCGATGGTTGTAGCCCTCATATATATATATATATATATAACGTTCTGTTGGTTGCAATAATTTTGTATAATCATTTAAATTGAAAAATTCAAAGTTTTGAATCCGGCGTCGTTTTGCGTATGTGCCATGGAATCGGTACGTAGAAAATCTCTTCCCAACTATTTAGCAATCTATATGGCACAGCTGTCACATTTTTGGTCCTTAAATGAAACTGGTATAATTTTTTATTTATCACAATTTTCATGAAACAATTTTGGTCTTTAACGCAGGGCCGACAGACAAGTTCCTTACTTTTTCCCCCTTCCAGTTGCCTCTTCCATGTTTTGCGGTAATGCTGCAATTAGTTGGTTGTAATTTTGGGTAGAGCAGACATGTCCATATATTTGTTAGCTGCATGTGTGACAACTCTACCAGTCCTATTTATGATATAATTTACAAAGATGATACTTATTTTAATTTTAATTTATTTATTATAATGGTTTTCTATCAATTAGTATATTTGAGTTGAACCACAATATTTGTTGTATTATTTGTTCTGTCTTTTCTGGTGGATTAAACTGAAATTGCAACCAACTTTCTATGGCTTGTATTAAAAATAGCTATATTTTGGAGATGATTTCATTTTCAAATAACCGAAAGTGAGAGGTTGTAATCTGAATAAAGGGAAAAGGGCCATTCTAGAACATGGGGTGAGACATTCTTACTAATCTGCTAGAGAACCAGTTGGGATTTAAGTATAACTTTTGTATGACTGATGCCTTTAGTGAGATGTCTGATGCTTTAATATTTAATTATTTCTGCCCTCCGAATTCATATTCATTATATAAATAGGTCTGTTTAATTTTGTCTGGCTTGCCATTCCAAATCAAATTGAATATTTTTTGCTCATATAATTAAAAAAACAGGTCGCTAGGTGTAGGCAAGACCATAAGCAAATAGGTAAACTGGGATATGACTGAAGAGTTAATCAGGGTGATTTTTCCACAAATAGACAGGTCTTTTATTTTCCATGGTAGCAAGATCTTATCTATTTTTGCTAACTTTCTATTAAAATGTGTGTAGTGAGATCATTTATTTATTTCCGCATATGTATACCGAGTATGTCCACATCACCGTCAGATCATTTTATTGGTCAACTACACAGTAATGTAAAAGTTGTGTTTTTTTGTGATCCAATACGTGATTTAGTACACTTATCATAATTTGGTTGTAATCCAGAGAGGTTAGAAAAATAATCTAGATACTCTGAGGCTGTGGAGGGATCCAAATTGTGGATTTAAAAGAAAACAACATGAATCATCAGCGTACAATGACACCTTTTGTTTTCAAGCCCTGGATTTCTAACCCCTTGATATTATTGTTGTATCTGATTTTAATAGCTAACATTTCGATGGCCATAATAGATATGCCGATAGTGGACAACCTTGTTTTACTCCTCTTGACAGTTTAATACTTTCTGAGTAGTAGCCATTATTTACTATTTTACACCTAGGGTTTCTATACTTAACTTTAACCACATTTTATAAGAGATTCTCCAAAATTGAAATATTCCAGGCATTTATATGTATTTAAATTCCAGTCGTACTTTATCAAAAACCTTTTCAAAGTTGGCTATGAATACCAGGACTAGTTTCCCAGATTTTTCATAGTGTTCTATTGTTTCCAGTACTTGTCTCACATTATCTCCAATGTATCGTCCATGTAAAAAAACCTGTCTGGTTAGGATTAATAATATGGACTGGATCTTTATATTTACCACTTGGATCCTGTTTCAGTAATAATGAAATCAGACCTTGTTGAGTATCTGATAATCTACTATTTTTATAGGAGTGGTTAAAACATACTAATAACGTTCCTGGAGTTTCACCGGACTTAAAGGCTTTAATTGCATCAAGAAGTTCCTCTTTCTGTACAGCTGTTAATTTTACATTATTAATAGAAAAAAAATCCATACAATTAACTTTGGTTAGTGGAGATGGGGGAGAATGAAACGAAAACAGATGCTTAAAGTACTTTGCTTCCTCTTTGAAAATGTTTTTTGGTGAATCATGGGTGACTCCATTTGTAACAAGTTTCAGTAAATTATCTGTAATTATTTTAATATGTGCCTTTAGAGGCCATGCAATTCAGTACTCATCTCTAAAACAAAAGCAATGTAGGTCAAAAGAGTCCATATTAAGAAAGGAAATGGAAGGACTAACAGTACAGATGGATAGCAATAAAAACTGTACCATAGAGGCACAGAATAAGTTAGAGGAAAAACTAAAAGAAATGAAGGAACCTATTCAAGAAAGATCAAGTGTAATATATTATGAAAATAAATGGAACTGGATGGAATATGGGGAAAAATGCACCAAATTATTTTTTAATCTTCAACATAGAAATGCTACCCATACAATAAGGGGATCTGCTATGTTTTTATGTCAGAAAAAGTAAGTTATAAATTATTCTATCCTAGTTAAAAACAAGTTATCACCCGATAGGCTTTGGTAAAATTTTCAATATCCTCGCCCATATGGAAATTCTGTAAGAGTAATGTATATGCCAATTTATTTGATGGTCCGACCACATTCTGTCCTCTATCAACACTGTTTAAACTTTTGGTGCCAGCGAGAATGACATAAGAAAGTAGTCAAGACGACTATCTTGATTGAGCCTCCGCCATGTATATCTCACTAGGTCAGGATATTTAAGCCTCCATATATCAAACAATATATCCATGACATTCGTGAATTCCTTAAGTGCATGCGGGAGATAGTTTGTAGTGTGATTTCCTTTACGGTCCATTGAGGTTTTTAAACCGTATTATAATCTCCCACCATAATAATAGAGTCTTGTATTGCTTGTAGGTTTGATCAATTATTATATTTTCAAAGAAGCATGGATCATCATTATTTGGGCTGTATAGATTAATGAGCCATATCTGTTTATGGTCCAATAACATATTTAAAATCATCCATCTACCTTGCCGATCTGTTTGGACAGTTTGCACATTCGGATCAAAATTATTGTTAATTAATATCATCACCCCTTTTGAGTTTCTTTCCCCATGGGATAAGTATATTTGCCCCCCCCCACCCCCCCACCCCCCAGTCCTTCTCCACACAACTTCATCTAAAATTGTCGAATGAGTTTCCTGTAAACCTCGTCCTCACCTCGACTTGTATTGTATATAGTTATAAAAAAATATATACAGTACCAGTCAAAAGATTGGACACAGCTACTCATTTATTTGTACTATTTTCTACATTGTAGAATAATAGTGAAGACGTCAAACCTATGAAATAACACATATGGAATCATGTAGTAACCAAAAACATGTTAAACAAATCAAAATATTTTATATTTGAGATTCTTCAAAGTAGCCACTCTTTGCCTTGATGACAGCTTTGCACACTCTTGGCACTCTCTCAACCAGCTTCATGAGGTAGTCACCTGGAATGCATTTCAATTAACAGGTGTGCCTTGTTAAAAGTTAATTTGTGGAATTTCTTTCCTTAATGCGTTTGAGCCAGTCAGTTGTGTTGTGACAAGGTAGGGTTGGTATATGGAAGATGGCCCTATTTGGTAAAAGACCAAGTCCATATTATGGCAAGAACAGCATAAAGGCCCCGTGTAGCTCAGTTGGTAGAGCATGGAGCTTGCAATGCCAGGGTTGTGGGTTTGTTTCCCACGGGGGGCCAGTATGAAAATGTATGCACTCACTAACTGTAAGTCGCTCTGGATAAGAGCGTCTGCTAAATGACTAAAATGTAAAAATGTGAAATAAATAAGCAAAGAGAAACGACAGTCCATCGTTACTATAAGACATGAAGGTCAGTCAATCCGGAAACTTTCAAGAACTTTGAAAGATTCTTCAAGTGCAGTCGCAAAAACCATCAAGCGCTATGATGAAACTGGCTCTCATGAGGACCGCCAAAGGAAAGGAAGACCCAGAGTTACCTCTGCTGCAGAGGATAAGTTTATTAGAGTTACCAGCCTCAGAAATCGGCAATTAACTGCACCTCAGATTGCAGCCCAAATAAATGCTTCACAGAGTTCAAGTAACAAACATATCTCCACATCAACTGTTCAGAGGATACTGCGTGAATCAGGCCTTCATGGTCAAATTGCTGCAAAGAAACCACTACTAAAGGACACCAATAAGAAGAAGATACTTGCTTTGGTCAAGAAACATGAGCAATGGACATTAGACCGGTGGAAATGTGTCCTTTTGGTCTGGAGTCCAAATGTGAGATTTTTATTTCCAACTGCCGTGTCTCTGTGAGACGCAGAGTAGGTGAACGGATGATCTCCGCATGTGTGGTTCCCACCGTGAAGCATGGAGGAGGAGGTGTGATGGTGTGGGGGTGCTTTGCTGGTGACACTGTCTGCGATTTATTTAGAATTAAAGGCACACTTAACCATCATGGCTAGCACAGCATTCTGCAGCGATATGCCAGCCCATATGGTTTGCGCTTAGTGGGACTATTATTTGTTTTTCAACAGGACAATGACCCAAAACACACCTCCAGGCTGTGTAAGGGCTATTTGACCAAGAAGAAGAGTGATGGAGTGCTGCATCAGATGACCTGGCCTCCACAATCACCTGACCTCAACCCAATTGAGATGGTTTGGGATGAGTTGGACCGCAGAGTGAAGGAAAAGCAGCCAACAAGTGCTCAGCATATGTGGGAACTCCTTCAAGACTGTTGGAAAAGCATTCCAGGTGACTACCTCATGAAGGTGGTTGAGGGAATGCCAAGAGTGTGCAAAGCTGTCATCAAGGCAAAGGGTAGCTATTTGAAGAATATAAAATTTATTTTGAATTGTTTAACACTTTTTTTGGTTACTACATTATTCCATATGTGTTATTTCACAGTTTTGATGTCTACACTATTATTCTGCAATGTAGAAAATAGTAAAAATAAAGAAAAACCCTTGAATAAGTAGGTGTGTGTAAACATTTGACTGGTACTGTATATTTAAAAAATCTTGCGTATCTTAATTTCCACAATTAACTAATAATATGCGTAATCATGTAGGCAGTTCATGCGAAGGATTGTTACCTATGGCCAGGATTGGCAAGCAATTATTATTTTAGCAAACATAATTACCCCATACAACACTCGACCCCTTTCCCCCCACAAACAACCACAAGCTCAGATGTTCAAATGTTGTTCCATCCCCGAGCCCAAGTCAACAATTGACTTGATGTGCGAATTCATATGCAGTTGCAGCTGTTTGAGAAGGCATGCAAAATTAAGCATAAATTGGTAGATTTGATTAACCAATGTCAAGTCCTAGCTGATGGAGATCAGATACACCCCCTTCCCCTGAAACACACACATGCTGGTCCCCCGTTGTGACCATTTTCCTAAGCAACTCTGTGCATTCAGACCTTTGATTATTTTGTGCAACCAGGGCCACAATAATTTGCCCCCTCTCTGATTGTCCGAGTGACCCCCTCCCCATGCGTTACTGCAGCTAGTGTTGCCAGCACTGCCACTACCTGGATGGTGGCACCCCACCGGAATTCCCACCGGCTAGGTACAAGGATGTCAAGGTTCTCATTAGCAGCTTTGAGAAATTCTTTGTATATTATGCTCACCCATCAGGGGGCTTTGGCTTTGTAGGACCAACCCTGCCAGGCAGGCTCAGAATCTTGAGGGGGCGGTGCTGCTTTAGTGGGTCTCTGACCGCATTTATCGTTCTGTTTTGGCTGTGAATAGGCTACTTGCAGTAGGCCCATAAAACAGATAAGGATGTCACCTTAGTGTATGGGTCGCTCAGGTGGGTGTCTAGGGTATAGGGTTGGGGACCGTTCCATCATGATAGGACAATAAATAAATAAACTATATTTAAAATTAATTTATAAATGTATTTCCCATATCTGCACAAAATTGAAAGCTCTCTCACAACCCCTGCTCGCGCACACGCATGGGCTCTGGGATTTGCAACCATTTTCCTTTTTCACTCACTTAACTCCACACTTTTCCAAACACAAAAACGTACACCCCACCTTCCATCACTACACCCGCACATACCCACATACTGTGCCTATATGTCCTCTATTTGCTATGTTTTTATCCCTACCATGTTGATTCTGAGTACTTTTGTGTTCCAGTTCCTTATATTTTAAGATGTATTATTTAGCTAATTATCCTTTCTTCTAATGCTGTCTTATCTATTTATAAAATACTATAAATAGAAAGTCAAATGCAAATAATTTTACAACATTCCTTATCTTGAATGGTATAGTGTAGTTTATTTATTTATCAATTGGTGTAGTTTGTTTTCCTATATATTTTGATATGACAATCCCTACCATGTATAGGATTGGGTGTTCTATTATTCGACTCCTCTATGGGAATTTTGTAATATTTTGAATAGCCATGGAGTAGTCTTGGTGTCTCGGAACATTTGGTTATCAATATATAGTTTATCGACTACAAGAGCTATACATTTCCCTTTTAATCTATTCTCCTTGAAGAGTGGGTACAGAACTTTGCGCCATTCTGCAATTTCCTTCGGGAATCGCACTCCACTCTGCCCTTTCCCACCTGGACAAAAGGAACACCTATATGAGAATGCTGTTCATTGACTACAGCTCAGCGTTCAACACCATAGTGCCCACAAAGCTTATCACTAAGCTAAGGACCCTGGGACTAAACACCTCCCTCTGCAACTGGATCCTGGACTTCCTGACGGGCCGCCCCCAGGTGGTAAGTGTAGGCAACAACACATCTGCCACGCTGATCCTCAACACGGGGGCCCCTCAGCGGTGCGTGCTTAGTCCCCTCCTGTACGCCCTGTTCACCCACGACTGCGTGGCCAAGCACGACTCCAACACCATCATTACGTTTGCTGACGACACAACGGTGGTAGGCCTGATCACCGACAACGATAAGACAGCCTATAGGGAGGAGGTCAGAGACCTGACAGTGTGGTGCCAGGACAAAAACCTCTCCCTCAACGTGAGCAAGACAAAGGAGATGATCGTGGACTATAGGAAAAGGAGGGCCGAACACGCCCCCATTAACATCGACGGGGCTGTAGTGGAGCGGGTCGAGAGTTTTTCCAGTTCCTTTGGTGTCCACATCACCAACAAACTATCATGGTCCAAACACACCAAGACAGTCGTGAAGAGGGCACGACAACGCCTTATCCCCCTCAGGAGACTGCAAAGATTTGGCTTGGGTCCCCAGATCCTCAAAAGGTTATACAGCTGCACCATCGAGAGCATCCTGACCGGTTGCATCACCGCCTGGTATGGCAACTGCTCGGCATCCGACCATAAGGCGCTACAGAGGGTAGTGCATACAGCCCAGTACATCACTGTGGCCAAGCTTCCTGCCATGCAGGACCTATTACTAGGCGTGTCAGAGGAAGGCCCAAAAAATGGTCAAAGACTCCAGTCACCCAAGTCATAGACTAACCCTTACCGCACGGGATGCGGTACCGGAGCGCCAAGTCTAGGTCCAAAAGGCTCCTTAACAGCTTCTAACCCCAAGCCATAAGACTGCTGTACAATTAACAAATCGCCACCCGGACTATTTGCATTGAGACCCCCCACCTTTGTTTTTATATTGCTGCTACTCGCTGTTTATTGTCTATGCATAGTTACTTTACCCCTACCTACATGTACAAATTACCTCAACTAAGTTGTACCCCCGCACATTGACTCGGTACCGGTACCCCCTGTATATAGCCTCATTATTAATTTTTTACTTTAGTTTATTGAGTAAATATTTTCTTAACTTTATTTTCTTAACTGCATTGTTGGTTAAGGGCTTGTAAGTAAGCATTTCACGGCGCATGTGACATGTTGTATTCGGCGCATGTGACAAATACAATTTGATTTGATTTGAACTGATCATTCATGCCTATTTTCGTTCCAGCGAGTCCTTTAACATTTACATTTTAGTCATTTAGCAGACGCTCTTATCCAGAGTACATACATTTTCATACTGGCCCCCCGTGGGAAACGAACCCACAACCCTGCAGTTGCAAGCGCCATGCTCTACCAACTGAGCTACAGGGGACTTTTAACCATTATTTTATCTTTGAAGAATGCAAATTTGGCAAAGATTGGGCGCTCATATCTCTCTCCTCTCTGTCCGAAATGGTGTACACGTTTGAGTTGGATTTTGTCGACAGCAACCACAGGGATCTGTAGCAATGTAAGAAATAATTATTTCATCACACTTTCAGGATATTCCCCCTCTTTTTCTTTGATACCAGTAAGTACCAGATTTTCTCTCATAGATCTAGTCTGTGTGTCAAGTGAGGCTTCTCTCAGAAACATGTTCTCCTTTTTAAGTTCATTAACGTCCGTTTCAATCTTATTGACTGTACCTTTTAGCTTGTTTCTTTCTTTCTCCGTTGTCGCAGCTTTTTCGTCACTCATCTCGAGGCTCGCCTTCAACTCCTTTTATATCTTTGCTGACGAATTCAAGTATGTCCAGTTCATCATTTATCGACTTCAACAGATCGGTTTCCACCCTTACCATTCCCGGTGGTAAAAAGCATAAATCGTCTGTATTCGTCAAGGAGTCGCTTTTTCTTCTGGGGATTGGTTCTCCATGTTTACTCTCTGTCATGTTTGGGTGTTGTTTGTTTTGGTAATATCGGTTGATACATTTCTCTAGCCTTATAATTTGTTTTGTGTTGTTATCCAGATTGAAGGTTATTACCCACGAGTATGTGGAGTGAAGTGCTAATATTTAGTCTAACTTACAGATATTGAATATTATGTTTTTTATCTTGAGGCGATCTGCACTTCTGTGTTCAGTCCGCCATCTTACCTCCCTGCTGATTCTGCCTGCTGGTATTCAAACGTACCTGATGGATGCGCGTAATATACATAATATAAGCATATACAATTTCAGTAGCACATGTCTTAGAGTGATGGACTCCACAATGGATTAGTCCACTCAGACAGGTGCGAATCAGACAGGTGTCTTGTACACAATGAAAAAAATAATTTGTTTATACTACTGCTCGACAAAATAAATCTCGGACGACCAACAGCCTATCGACCAAACAATCGACCATTCGACTAAATGGAGTCAGCCCTAATTTGTTCAAACACAATTCTCCCCATCAGTTTACTAAAAAAAGGCATCAAACTGATTGTGTGGCTGTTAGAGCCAGCAAAGGGTTCTTTACTATTTTTAGGTAGTGGAAGTACTTTAGCTTCCTTCCACGCCTGTGGACACAAACTCCTTTAGGCTTTGGTTAAAGACATGGCAAATAGGGGTGGCAATAGTCTGCTACCATTCTCAATAGTTTTCGATCTAAGTTGTATATACCTGGTGGCTTATCATTTATTGATGGATAACAACTGTTTATCCACCTCTTACATAAAAACTTGACAAAATTCAAAACGCAATCCTTCTCTTTCCTTATTAGATCTTTAATACACAAATATGATGGTTCACTGATAAATGTTGTCATTTTACTTATCAGTTTGTCCACTTTAACAGCTGGAATAGTCATTTAAATGACTGGCTATGTCAAAAGATTTTGTTATAAATGACCCATCAACTTCAATGAACGATGAAGATGAATTGGGTTTCTGCCCATAATATCACTTAAGGTGCTCCAAAGTATTTTATTATAGTTTTTTATGTCAATTATCTTGTTTTAATAATATAATTTTGTTTAGTCACACATTTTCTAAATTGACAGTATGTGAACCAATCAGCTGAGCAACCTGACTTGTTAGATACCTTTTTTTGCATAATTTATTTGAACCATACCATTTTTTTAATTAATCATCGATCCAGGGGGCTCTAACAGTTCTCACAGTTAGTTTCTTAAAAGGTGCATGTTGTCAACAATTGACAATAATAATTGTACAAATACTCCAAGTGCTGTATCTGGATTCTCCTCCTTATACTCCTCCAGGTGACCATCGTTGACACAGGGGTGAGGGGGATGATTGCTGTTGGCCTGGTGCCTCAGTACTACAAGCTGGACCATCAGCCTGGCTGGCTCCCGCACTCAGTGGCCTACCATGCTGACGATGGCAAGTATGTGTCGGGCCCCTTCTTAGCTCTAAAAAATATGTTTCTCCACGCTCTAAAATCTCCTCTGTTTCAAACAAAGTTTTGAATATAGCTCAACATTCCAGCATCAGTTTGGGATAACGTCAATGGTATAGTCTAAAAGGGAAAATAGAAATAGGTTTAATGTTACTCAAAATGAAAGAATAACAGATTTATTTTGAACGTTCCACATCACCACTTTATGAACATTTGACTTAAGTTGAGAATCACTACTGGGCCTTGTGTTGTGAAGACTTACAATCAGGTCTATAATTATTGGCACCCTTGATAAAGATGAGCACAAAATACTGTATAAAATAAATAATGCAAATACTGAACTACATTGTATGCTCCAAAAAATTGGGAAATTATATTTTTTTATACTAATACAATTGCTCAAAGAAAGAGATTTCGTATAACAAGTAATCAAAAAAGATGGTTTCAATACTCTAGCACCCTCCCCTTGCGAGGATAACGACACTGAGCCTTTTTCTAAAATGTTTTATGGTTTTTTCAGATCCTTGATATCCTTCGTCTGCTCTTATGGACTGCCCTCTTCAATTCAATCCAAAGGTTTTCAATGGGGTTTGGAGACCGAGATGGCTATTGCAAAGTGTTGCTTTTAGGGCTGTCCCCGACAAAAAAATCTTGGTCGACCAAGATTGGTCGAAATGTTTACAATTATTTTCCATATATAGACAGACACACCCTATGTGTTTGAATAAAACCAACTACATATGCACTGAGCTTGTTTGATGCTTTAAGCACACTGTTTGATTAAATAATATAAGACACACAAATGACAGTTTAAAAAAATGACAGCGTGTGCCTGTGTGACTGGAGCACGATGTCTCCCTCTCCTCCCTACTGCGGAGAAAAGGCACCACAGCAAGTGTTTATTGTGCTGTCTGTGGTGAAGCTCCCGAGTGGCGCAGTGGTCTAAGGCACTGTATTGCAGTGCTAGCTGTGCCATTAGAGATCCTGGTTTGAATCCAGGCTCTGTCGTAGCCGGCCGCGACTGGTAGACCCATGGGGCGGCGCACAATTGGCCCAGCGTCGTCCAGGATAGGGGAGGGAATGGCCGGCAGGGATGTAGCGCAGTTGGTTGAGCATGGCGTTTGCAACGCCAGGGTTGTGGGTTCGATTATGTTACCGAAATCCATCATTTGTTTAGGAAAAACATTCCCTATTCCCTCAACCCTTACTCTTTGTACGTGAAACATGTTGCATGCACGTGACCAATGGGGCCTGACCTATAGCCTATCATAATCACCTCCAATAAATTGGTTATAACAAACTCCAAACACAGTAATGTCGACAGCTAAATGAATGCAGAGGACATGAAAAAGAAACTTGAAGCAGGCGAATGTTTACTGGTTGCTCAGGAGGGAAAGGGGAAGTCAGATCTGTGGAAGACATTTGACTTCGTTGTGGAAATTACTGGAGATCAAGAAAAAGGAGGGTATAGGAGCAAGTGTTGCGTGAGTATTATGTGTGCAAACAGTTGCTGTTAGATTACAATATCATATTAGAAATCTCCTTGCTTTCGAAAGAAAAGCAATTTTTTTTGTCCATTAAAATAACATCAAATTGATCAGAAATACAGTGTAGACATTGTTATATCTACATAGGCGTACAGAGGCCCATTATCAGCAACCATCAGTCCTGTGTTCCAATGGCATGTTGTGTTTGCTAATCCAAGTTTATCATTTTAAAAGGCTAATTGATCATTAGAAAACCCTTTTGCAATTATGCTAGCACAGCTGAAAACTGTTGTGCAGATTAAAGAAGCAATAAAACTGGCCTTCTTGAGACTAGTTGAGTATCTGGAACATCAGCAAATGTGGGTTCGATTACAGGCTCAAAATGGCCAGAAACAAATAACTTTCTTCTGAAACTCATCAGTCTATTCTTGTTCTGAGAAATGAAGGCTATTCCATGCGAGAAATTGCCAAGAAACTGAAGATCTCGTACAGCGCTGTGTACTACTCCCTTCACAGAACAGAGCAAACTGGCTCTAACCAGAATAGAAAGAGGAGTGGGAGGCCCCGGTGCACAACTGAGCAAGAGGACAAATACGTTAGTGTCTAGTTTGAGAAACAGGCGCCTCACAGGTCCTCAACTGGCAGCTTCATTACATAGTACCCGCAAATCACCAGTCTTAACGTCAACAGTGAAGAGGCGACTCCGGGATGCTGACCTTCTAGGCAGAGTTGCAAAGAAAAAGCCATATCTCAGACAGACCAATAAAAATAAAATATTAAGATGGGCAGTCTGAGACTGGTGTTTGATGATCATAATAATAATTGTAATAACAATAAGAAGGAGATCAAGAAAAATGAGGGTATAGGAGCGAGAGCTGTGTGCATATTATGTGTGACAAACAAGTGCTGTTAGATGACTATTATTTTTCTGCCTGTTTGGAACAGTGTAAACAACACTAAATAAAGTATAAGTAATACCAGTCTGTTCTAACAAAAATATATGTTTAAAGCCTTTATTACAGCATAACAAATATTAAAAACAGCCAGATCTGTGAAATTGCTTTATCCGACATTTTGTCGTTGCGTGAGGCTTGGTGCTCACGGAATCAGTAGGCTATTAAACAAACACTCAAACAGGCAACAGAAGCAAGATCGGTCTTATTTCTGCAGATATATATGGGTGATTTATAAAGCCAGGCACATTTGAGCAATTAGGCTATTGATTATAGACCTAATTAAGTTGGGGGTTTGTGCTCTCCTCAATTTTCTTAGACAATTAGGCTAAGCCCTATTTGCACAGGACTAGTATTACTAGAGAACGTTGGTTATGTCATTATTACCCCAGAATGTCCGTTATTCCAGAGGACAATTCGGACGGGATTCGTTTTTTCCAAACTTTTTTTTATTCCAATAAATTGACAGTTATGACCGAAGCCTGGAGGTTCTAGGCCTGAAGATATTTCAACAAGTCCAGGCGATAACAGGGCTACACTGATAACTCCAGCTTGGTTCCCAAGTTTCTAAACCATACCAAACCGTCTTTGGTATAGTGTCGCCATAATATTTGAATTGAGGAAGTGTGATCATAATCATTAGGATATTTTAGCGATCCGCAGTAGACGTCCTAAATACCCCCCATTAATAGGCACAATATTCTTTACTGATGCACTTGCCAATATTCAATTCATATGAACAAAAGCATTGACTGTGAAAGTTGATACATGTAGGCCCTTCATATATAGGTTATGCGCAGCACTTCATTTAATTTATCGACTCAGTAATTGTTTTTGTACTCAAATTGTGAACATCACCTGTCAAACTCAGACATTTCTCTCAAAACACAGGGATGTCGATTCACACGGGACTAGTATTATCAGAGGACCTTGGAGTTTGCAAAAAAACAGTAGGTTATTCTGGCTTTAATTGTGACTCTCCTACCATGTACAAATTACTGACATGGCAGATTTGGACAGGACTAAAATGACAGATGTGGTGTTTTGTGCTTGTGCACATAATTACATTACCCGACCACCCCCAGTAAAACAAATCCCGTCTGAATAGGGCTTTAGGCAAGGGGTGTTTCCTCTTCTCTGCTGCCTCCGCGGCATTGTTCTCAATGCCAATATGCTGGTTAATTTTGCTATTATGCACATACAGTGACTTGCGAAAGTATTCACCCCCCTTGATATTTTTCCTATTTTGTTGCCTTACAACCTGGAATTAAAATTGATTTTTTGGGTGGGTTTTATCATTTGATTTACACAACATGCCTACCACTTTGAAGATGCAAAATATGTTTTATTGTAAAACAAACAAGAAATAAGACAAAAAACAGAGCTTGAGCATGCATAAATATTCACCCCCCCAGAGTCAATACTTTGTAGAGCCACCTTTTGCAGCAATTACAGCTGCAAGTCTCTTGGGGTATGTCTCTATAAGGTTGGCACATCTAGCCACTGGGATTCTTGCACATTCTTCAAGGCAAAACTGCTCCAGCTCCTTCAAGTTGGATGGGTTCCGCTGGTGTACAGCAATCTTTAAGTCATACCACAGATTCTCAATTGGATTGAGGTCTGGGCTTTGACTAGGCCATTCCAATACATTTAAATGTTACCCCTTAAACCACTCAAGTGTTGCTTTAGCATTATGCTTAGGGTCATTGTCCAGCTGGAAGGTGAACCTCCGTCCCAGTCTCAAATCTCTGGAAGACTGAAACAGGTTTCCCTCAAGAATTTCCCTGTATTTAGCGCCATCCATCATTCCTTCAATTCTGACCAGTTTCCCAGTCCCTGCTGATGAAAAACATCCCCACAGCATGATGCTGCCATCACCATGCTTCACTGTAGGAATGGTGTTCTCGGGGTGATGAGAGGTGTTGGGTTTGCGCCAGACATAGCGTTTTCCTTGATGGCCAAAAAGCTCAATTTTAGTCTCATCTGACCAGAATACCTTCTTCCATATGTTTGGGGAGTCTCCCACATGGCTTTTGGTGAACACCAAACGTGTTTGCTTATTTATTTTCTTTAAGCAATGGCTTTTTTCTGGCCACTATTCCATGAAGCCCAGCTCTGTGGAGTGTACGGCTTAAAGTGGTCCTATGGACAGATACTTCAATCTCTACTGTGGAGCTTTGCAGCTCCTTCAGGATTTTTAATGAATTTATTTGCAAATTATGGTGGAAAATAAGTATTTGGTCACCTACAAACAAGCAAGATTTCTGGCTCTCACAGACCTGTAACTTCTTCTTTAAGAGGCTCCTCTGTCCTCCACTCGTTACCTGTATTCATGGAACCTGTTTGAACTTGTTATCAGTATAAAAGACACCTGTCCACAACCTCAAACAGTCACACTCCAAACTCCACTATGGCCAAGACCAAAGAGCTGTCAAAGGACACCAGAAACAAAATTGTAGACCTGCACCAGGCTGGGACGACTGAATCTGCAATAGGTAAGCAGCTTGGTTTGAAGAAATCAACTGTGGGAGCAATTATTAGGAAATGGAAGACATACAAGAACATTTACATTACATTTTAGTCATTTAGCAGACGCTCTTATCCAGAGCGACTTACAGTTAGTGAATACATACTTTTTTTTATACTGGCCCCCCGTGGGAATCGAACCCACAACCCTGGCGTTGCAAACGCCATGCTCTATCAACTGAGCTACATCCCTGCCGGCCATTCCCTCCCCTACCCTGGACGACGCTGGGCCAATTGTGCGCCGCCCATGAGTCTACCGGTCGCGGCCGGCTGCGACAGAGCCTGGATCTCTAGTGGCACAGTTAGCACTGCGATGCAGTGCCTTAGACCACTGCGCCACTCAGGAGAACTGATAATCTCCCTCGATCTGGGGCTCCACGCACGATCTCACCCCGTAGGGTCAAAATGATCACAAGAACGGTGAGCAAAAATCCCAGAACCACACGGGGGGACCTAGTGAATGACCTGCAGAGAGCTGGGACCAAAGTAAAAAAGCCTACCATCAGTAACACACTACGCCGCCAGGGACTCAAATCCTGCAGTGCCAGACGTGTCCCTCTGCTTAAGCCAGTACATGTCCAGGCCCGTCTGAAGTTTGCTAGAGTGCATTTGGATGATCCAGAAGAGGATTGGGAGAATGTCATATGGTCAGATGAAACCAAAATAGAACTTTTTGGTAAAAACTCAACTCGTCGTGTTTGGAGGACAAAGAATGCTGAGTTGCATCCAAAGAACACCATACCTACTGTGAAGCATGGGGGTGGAAACATCATGCTTTGGGGCTGTTTTTCTGCAAAGGGACCAGGACGACTGATCCGTGTAAAGGAAAGAATGAATGGGGCCATGTATCATGAGATTTTGAGTGAAAACCTCCTTCCATCAGCAAGGGCATTGAAGATGAAATGTAGCTGGGTCTTTCAGCATGACAATGATCCCAAACACACCGCCCGGGCAACGAAGGAGTGGCTTCGTAAGAAGCATTTCAAGGTCCTGGAGTGGCCTAGCCAGTCTCCAGATCTCAACCCCATAGAAAATCTTTGGAGGGAGTTGAAAGTCTGTGTTGCCCAGCGACAGCCCCAAAACATCACTGCTCTAGAGGAGATCTGCATGGAGGAATGGGCCAAAATACCAGCAACAGTGTGTGAAAACCTTGTGAAGACTTACAGAAAACGTTTGACCTGTGTCATTGCCAACAAAGGGTATATAACAAAGTATTGAGAAACTTTTGTTATTGACCAAATACTTATTTTCCACCATAATTTGCAAATAAATTCATAAAAAATCCTACAATGTGATTTTCTGGATTTATTTTTCTGATTTTGTCTGTCATAGTTGACGTGTACCTATGATGAAAATTACAGGCCTCTCTCATCTTTTTAAGTGGGAGAACTTGCACAATTGGTGGCTGACTAAATACTTTTTTCCCCCACTGTACATGGGTAGCATACCTGAATAATGAGCCAGTCATTGGGTTCCATCTGTCAGCTTGTCCCCTTGTGTGTTGGGTTTGATGTGCTTATAGAAGAAGTATTGAGCTTCCTTGGCAGTGGAAAATTAGTGTGTTGTGTTCTGAAAGGTGAAGATGAGTTTTGCCAGGTGGATGAAGCCGCATCTCAGGTTTAGCTTGTGTAGCTGGGATCTCACCGTGTTTTTTCTTCTTCTTTTTTCTTTTTTTCCCTCTCAAATCAAATCACATTTTATTTGTCACGTACACATGTTTAGCAGATGTTATTGCGGGTGTAGCGACATGCTTGTGCTTCTAGCTCCGACAGTGCAGTAATATCTAACAAGTAATATCTAACAATTTCACAACATATACAGTGAGGGGGAAAAAGTATATGATCCCCTGCTGATTTTGTACGTTTGCCCACTGACAAATAAATAATCAGTCTATAATTTTAATGGTAGGTTTATTTGAACAGTGAGAGACAGAATAACAACAAAAAAATCCAGAAAAACGCATGTCAAAAATGTTCTAAATAGATTTTTTATTTTAATGAGGGAAATAAGTATTTGACCCCCCTCTCAATCAGAAAGATTTCTGGCTCCCAGGTGTCTTTTATACAGGTAACGAGCTGAGATTAGGAGCACACTCTTAAAGGGAGTATTCCTAATCTCAGTTTGTTACCTGTATAAAAGACACCTGTCCACAGAAGCAATCAATCAGATTCCAAACTCTCCACCATGGCCAAGACCAACGAGCTCTCCAAGGATGTCAGGGACAAGATTGTAGACCTACACATGGCTGGAATGGCCTACAAGACCATCGCCAAGCAGCTTGGTGAGAAGGTGACAACAGTTGGTGCGATTATTCACAAATGGAAGAAACACAACAGAACTGTCAATCTCCCTCGGCCTGGGGCTCCATGCAAGATCTCACCTCGTGGAGTTGCAATGATCATGAGAACGGTAAGGAATCAGCCCAGAACTACACGGGAGGATCTTGTCAATGATCTTGTCAATGATCCGGTTACAGTGTAAACGGTGTGAAATGGCTAGCTAGTTAGTGGTTTCAATTGGTGACGTCACTCGCTCTGAGACATTGAAGTAGTTGTTTCCCTTGCTCTGCAAGGGCCGCGGCTTTTGTGGAGCGACGGGTAACGGCGCTTCGAGGGTGACTGTTGTCGATGTGTGCAGAGGGTCCCTGGTTCGAGCCCAGTTAGGGGCGTGGAGAGGGATGGATGCAACACTGTTACACTGGAAACATAGTCACCAAGAAAACAATTGGTAACACACTACGCCGTGAAGGACTGAAATCCTGCAGTACCCGCAAGGTCCCCCTGCTCAAGAAAGCACATATACAGGCCCGTTTGAAGTTTGCCAATGAACATCTGAATGATTCAGAGGAGAACTGGGTGAAAGTGTTGTGGTCAGATGAGACCAAAATCGAGCCGTGTTTGGAGGAGGAGGAATGCTGCCTATGACCCCAAGAACACCATCCCCACCGTCAAACATGGAGGTGGAAACATTATGCTTTGGGGGTGTTTTTCTGCTAAGGGGAGAACTTCACCGCATCAAAGGGACGATGGACGGGGCCATGTACCGTCAAATCTTGGGTGAGAACCTCCTTCCCTCAGCCAGGGCATTGAAAATGGGTCGTGAATGGGTATTCCAGCATGAAAATGACCCAAAACACACGGCCAAGGCAACAAAGGAGTGGCTCAAAAATAAGCACATTAAGGTCCTGGAGTGGCCTAGCCAGTCTCCAGACCTTAATCCCATAGAAAATCTGTGGAGGGAGCTGAAGGTTCGAGTTGCCAAACGTCAGCCTCGGAACCTTAATGACTTGGAGAAGATCTGCAAAGAGGAGTGGGACAATATCCTCCTGAGATGTGTGCAAACCTGGTGGCCAACTACAAGAAACGTCTGACCTCTGATTGCCAACAAGGGTTTTGCCACCAAGTACTAAGTCATGTTTTGCAGAGGGGTCAAATACTTATTTCCCTCATTTTAAAATGCAAATCAATTTATAACATTTTTGACATGCGTTGTTGTGGATTTTTTTGTTGTTATTCTGTCTCTCACTGTTCAAATAAACCTACCATTAAAATTATAGACTGATCATGTCTTTGTCAGTGGGCAAACGTACAAAATCAGCAGGGGATCTTCTTCCCTGCATAGGTCAGACCCCCAGATTCGTTCCGGAAAGGACCTATACGGTTCGCAATGTTAATCAGCGGCATGGGACCCAACTTCTCCTGCCCAAACAGTTCATTGAAAAGATTGCTCTTGAAAGAAGTTAGGTTTCCCGCTTCCATACCAGTTTCAATTCCTGTGACCCGCACATTGAATTTACGGGAATGATTTTCGAGTGATTCCGTTTTCTCTGTTAGGAGTTTGATTATCCCTTCCAATTTAGCTCGCGCCATTTCCAGGTCATGGAATTGCACCGTTGTCGCATTGGCTGTCTTCTTCACTTTACAATTTGTTTGCATAGGTATCTACTTCAGCATTGAGCACTACCAATGATTCATTCACCGGTTTTAATTGTAAGTCGAGGGCAGGGGTAATCTCCTCATGAACAATCTCTCGTATAGTAGCGGCCAGCTCTTTCTGTTGTCTGGTGTTGAGAGACGCCATGTTCCCCCAGTTGAATTGTGGATGGAGATATTCTAGCTGCTGGAGCATAATAGACCTGCTAGTTATTTCCTGTCACAAAATGAGTGCCCCACACCTTAATATGATGCTTAGTATTGACAGGTTTTAGGAAATAAGTCTGTTAATTCATAGTAATTTGCAAAAGAAAGCCACCGGAACCGGTCTTGATATTATTATCTGATGGACAACAATTCCACAACAATTCTTAAACCACATCAGCAGACCACTTTTGAGGTCTGGGAACGATCCAAAAATAAATCAATTAGAGGGTGTAGTTGCCCTGTGCACCTAGCAAGAGTACTGGCTACATGTGATGGCAGAATTTTCTAAAGAAATGCTCCACACTTGATGCGAACCTAGCGACCAATACAAATCTGTCAATACAAAGGGTAGCAAATGAAAGGGTTTTGGTCGCAGTCTCGAACCCTGGCATGGAAATTTTAGCCAAAAACCTGGTTGCCTCTGCCAGGAGGCTGACACTTGGTCGCAAGTGGATCTTCCAGCAAGACAATAACACCAAGCACACATCAAAATCCACAAAGAAAAGGTTAATTGACCACAAAATCAACATTTTGCAATGGCCATCAGTCTCCGGACTTGAACCCCGTTGAAAACCTGTGGTTTGAATTGAAGAGGGCAGTCCATAAGCGCAGACAAAGCATATCAAGGATCTAGAAAGATTCTGTATGAAGGAATGGTCTAAAATGTGTTTTCCAATCTCATAAATCATCTTAGAAAAAGGCTCAGTGTTGTTAAAAATTGTATGGTTGAGAGGGATGAGGCAAAAGGAATGGTAAATAAGTCAGGCTGCACAACCGATTGGCAAACATACTGCAAATTGAGAAATCATATGACTAAACTGAATAAAAATGAGAAGAAACTACACTATGAAACAAAGGTAAATGACATAAAGAATAATAGTAAAAAGCTTTGGAGCACCTTAAATTAAATTTTGGGCAGAAAGGCAAACTCAGCTCCATCATTCATTGAATCAGATAGCTAATTCATCACAAAACCCACTGATATTGCCAATTACTTTAAATATTTTTTCTTTTGCAAGATCAGCAAAATTAGGCATGACATGCCAGCAACAAACGCAGACACTACACATTCAAGTATAACTGATCAAATTATGAAAGACAAGCATTGTAATTTTGAAGTCCGTAAAGTGAGTGTGGAAGAAGTTTTTTACAAATATTGTTGTCTATCAACAATGACAAGCCACCGAGTTCTGACAACTTGGATGGAAAGTTACTGAGGATAATAGCGGACGATATTGCCACTCCTATTTGCCATATCTTCAATCTAAGCCTACTTGGACGTGTGTGCCCTCAGGCCTGGAGGGAAGCTCAAATAGCCGACCAATCAGCCTGTTACCAACCCTTAGTATACTTTTGGAAATAATGGTGTTTGACCAGATACAATGCTATTTTACTGTAAACAAATTGACAACAGACTTTGAGCATGCTTATAGGGAAGGACAGTCAACAAGCACTTACACAAATGACTGATGATTGGCTGAGAGAAATTGATGATAAAAAGATTGTGGGAGCTGTTTTGTTAGACTTCAGTGCGGCTTTTGACATTATCAATCATAGTCTGCTGATGGAAAACGTATGTGTTGTGGCTTTACACCCCCTGCTATATTGTGGATAAAGAGTTACCTGTCTAACAGAACACAGAGGGTGTTCTTTAATGGAAGCCTCTCCAACATAATCCAGGTAGAATCAGGAATTCCCCAGGGCAGCTGTCTAGGCCCCTTACTTTTTTCAATCTTTACTAATGACATGCCACTGGCCTTGAGTAAAGCCAGGTGTGGCTATGTATGCGGATGACTCAACACTATACATGTCAGCTTCTACAGCGAGTGAAATAACTGCAACATTTAATAAAGAGCTGCAGTTAGTTTCAGAATGGGAGGCAAGGAATAAATTAGTCCTAAATATATCAAAAACTAAAAGCATTGTATTTGGGACAAATCATTCACTAAACCCTAAAACTCAACTGAATCTTGTAATACATAATGTGAAAATTGAGCAAGTTGAGGTGAAACTGCTTGGAGTAACCCTGGATTGTAAACTGTCATGGTCAAAACATGTTGATACAACAGTAGCTAAAATGGGGAGAAGTCTGTCCATAATAAAGCGCTGCTCTGCCTTTTTAACAACACTTATCAACAAGGTAGGTCCTACAGGTTCTAGTTTTGTCGCACCTAGACTACTGTCCAGTCGTGTGGTCAGGTGCCACAAAGAGGGACCTCGGAATATCACAATTGGCTCAGAGCAGGGCAGCACGGCTGGACCTTAAATGTAAACGGAGAGCTAACATTAATAATATGCATATAAGTCTCATGGCTCAAAGTGGAGGAGAGATTGACTTCATCACTACTTGTTTTTGTAAGAAGTGTTGACATGCTGAATGCACCGAAGTGTCAGTATAAACTACTAGCACACAGCTCGGACACCCATGCATACCCCACAAGACATGCCACCAAAGGTCTCTTCACAATCCCCAAGTCAAGAACAGACTATGGGAGGTGCACAGTACTACATAGAACCATGGCTACATGTAACTCTATTCCACATCAGGTAACTGATGCAAGCAGTAGAATAAAAAAAGAATAATTACAATATAAAATACTCCTTATGGAACAGCGGGGACTGTGAAGAGACACACACAGACACACATACACATACATGGATGTTGTATTGTACATATATGGTAGTGGAGTAGTGGTCTGACGGAACACACTAAATGTATTGGGTAAAGTGTTATGAAATGTAATGTCATGTAATATTTTAAACTGTATATAATAATATAATAATAATATGCCATTTAGCAGACGCTTTTATCCAAAGCGACTTACAGTCATGCGTGCATACATTTTTGTGTATGGGTGGTCCCGGGAATCGAACCCACTACCTTGGCGTTACAAGCGCCGTGCTCTACCAGCTGAGCTACAGAGGACCACATATATAACTGCCAAGGCAGCAGCTAATGGGGATCCTTTAATATATACAAAATACAAAGGGTAGGGTGCTGGAGTACTGAAAACAGGGGTGCCAATAATTCTGACCCCTATCTTTTTTAGATTTTGAATGACTTTTTAAACAAAATCTCTCTGAGCAATTGTATTAGTATAAAATAATATACAGTGAGCACCATAATTCATTGGACAGTGACCATGTTTTTGTTATTTTGGTTCTGTACTCTAGCACTTTGAGTTTGAAAGGATACAATGACAATGAGGGTGAAGTGCAGTCTGTCAGCTTTAATTTGAGGGTATTTCATACATATCGGATGAACCGTTTAGAAATGACAGCACCTTTTGTACCTGGTCCCCCCATTTTAAGGTACTACAAGTATTTGTTAAATTGGCTTCACAGATGTGTGTCGTTAGGTAGGTGTATTCATTTGTGTCGTTAGTGAATGCAGGAGAGCTGTTGATGAATAGTATTGATTCTAGACTTTGCTATTGCCTTTGGAGGTTGTTGTTGGGGTGTGATAGCAGTGTCGATGCAAAAGAAGCTGGCCGTCATAAGGCTCAGAAATGAAAATCAATCAATCAGGAACATTGTAAAAACCCTGGCCATGCCCAAGTCAACAGTTTGGTTCAATAGTAACAAGAAAAAAACAACCGGTGAACTCAATTATGTCAAAAGACCCGGTAGACCGAGGAAGACCACTGTAGTGGATGACCCGGAGAATACACTCTATGGTGAAGAAACCCCCCCCTGACAACAGCCCAACAGATCAAAAACACTCTCCTGGATGCAGGTGTAGATGTGTCAAAGTCTACCATATGTAGAAGACTACACCAGCAGGACTACAGAGGGTACACTACAAGATGCAAACCACTGATAAGCCTGAAGAACAGAAAGGCGAGATTACAGTTTGCTAAAAAGCACCTAAAAGAGCCCCAAGAGTTCTGGAAAAAAGTATTGTGGACAGATGAGACAAAGATTAACATGTACCAGAGTGATGGAAAGAGGAAATTGTGGAGAAAAAAAGGAAATGCCCATGATCCAAAGCATACCACCTCATCCGTGAAACATGGTGGAGGTGGTGTTGGGCCTGTATGGCTGCCAGTGGAACAGGCTCACTTGTCTTCATCGATGATGTGACTGCAGACAGAAGTAGAACAATGAATTCTGAAGTCTACAGAAATATTTTATCTGCTCAGATAAAACCAAATGCCTCCAAACTCATTGGCCGGCACTTCATCATGCAACAAGACAATGACCCTAAACATACTGCTAGAGCAACGAAGGGGTTTTTGATGGCCAAAAAGTGGAAAATCCTTGACTGGCCAAGTCAATCACCGGATCTGAATCCAATTGAACATGCATTTTACATGCTGAAGAGGAGACTGAAGGCAATAAGTCCCCGAAACAAGCAGGAACTGAAGATGGCTGCAGTACAGGCCTGACAGAGCATCACCAGGGAAGATACCCAGCTTCTGGTGATGTCGATGCATCGCAGACTTCAAGCAGTCATTGCATGCAAAGGATATGCGACCAAATATTAACAATGATTACTTTATTCTACATTATGTTAAACTGTCCAATGTTTTTTGATGCCCGAAAATGGGGGGGACCATGTACAAAAGCTTCTATAATTTCTAAACGGTTCATCCGATATGTATGAAAATACCCTCAAATTAAAGCTGACAGTCTGCACTTCACCCTCATTGTCATCGTATCCTTTCAAACTCAGTGCTAGAGAACAGAACCAAAATAACAAAAAAATGGTCACTGTCCAATGAATTATGGTGCTCACTGTTTTTTGGCGCATGCAGCATAGCTCAGTATTTGTATTATTTATTTTATACAGTCTGTTTTGCTCATTTTTGTCAAGGGTGCCAATAATTATGGACCTGACTGTATATGGCTGACTGAGCTGTGGCTCAGCCAGCACCCTCACTTCTCACCTCTGGCATTCCACAGGCTGTACAATGGGAACACTATTGGACAGCAGTTTGGGCCCAAGTGTAACCGTGGCGATCGTATTGGCTGTGGGATCTACCTAGAGGCATTTGAGGATGGACAAACAACGGTCTTCTTCACCAAGAACGGAAAAGAAGTAAGCTAAGATCTTAGTCTCTTTCACACACATGTAGGCCTACTACATACAATCAAGCTCTTACTGTCGTTTGAAAAAGATTACAGCACCTCCCTCTGGTATTCATATGTTCTATGATATGTAACACCTCTATAGGCAATGAATGTATATTGCGCCACATATCAGAGATGGAGTCTCAATTTCGTAGTCTTACTCTCGAGACCACGTACATGCAGTCAGGGTCAAGGGTCTGGTCTTAGTCTGGGTCTAGTACTCAATGGTCCTGGACTGGTCCAGACTCAATCTCTGTCACCCATATTACATATTATGAATGTGTTTGCATTTAGGTGGGCACGGTGGTGGTCCCAGGGTCTCCAGAGGCGCTCTACCCGGCCGTTGGGATGCACTCTCTGGGGGAGGAGGTGCAGCTGGACCTGCAAGCGGAGTGGGGGATGGAGGAGGAAGACGGACTGATGATAGTGGACAGCCACGAGGACGAGTGGGGGCGTCTCCATGACGTCAGGGTCACCGGCTCGGTAAGGACCTGGCCTTGCCTGTTGTCTTCTAGGCTACTTCATACATAATTCATGTTATTCACATGGTCTTCTTCCTATGATTACATTACACCTCATCTGCTCAACATATACAAGATGAAAAGTGTGTATGACTATGAATAAACATCCTTTGTATGAAGAGAGAGGGTATGGTTACGTTCCAATGTCCATAGTAGCATACCACTTAGAATGCATGCCCAATACATTGCTTCATTCAAGTAGTATGCCAGTGTGGATATCGGAACATAGTCCCTATGTGTTTGTATCTGTGTTTCGGTCTGTGTGTGTTTTGAATGTTGTTGTCTGTTGGTAACTGCTGAGTGCAGACCTGCCTGGTGGTGTTTGTCAATGGCATGCTTGCAGAAGGCAGCAGTTACTCTGGTTCTGTGGAAACAGCCTTCATTTTTTAGCTACACCTGGGATTATTTCTACACACCTGTAGATTACCACAGTCTGTTTAAGGTGGAAAACCGAGGTGGGAGGCCAGGAATGCTCGCTGCTTCAGAAGGAATTTTGATATGAGAGCATGGAGTCTTCCTCTGTTGACTGAACCCTTTACCACGTCCTTCAGAACCAAGATAAATGTCATGGGTTGTCAAGGTGTGACCTAATCATTCACATTGTTTCATAATTGTTTTCTTATCGATAACAGTGATTCATGGTGTTTAGTGTGGTTGTTTACCTTTCAGTTTGGTTGCCTGGAAACAACAGGGATATAGGTTTTGCGGTTAGGTTTCTAAACCCAGAGGCCCAACATCGTGAGACTTCCTGGAACGCTTGCGAAGCGAAGCAGACTTGGCAGACCAGACCAGGGTTTGGGGTTTGAGAAGTCATTGAGAGCAGTAAAAAAATGTGTTGTTCTTTAGTTCATTATTTTCTAAATCTAAATCCACAACCTAGATTCACCCCAATGTCTTAAGTAGCTGTACATGTTATTACTCCAACCTCGTGAATGTTTTAATCAAAAACAACTTTATATCGAAGGAGCACCTTTGATTTGACGACCTGCACATGCTCAGTTCGGCGCGAGACGACCATTAAACCTGATGACACGTTTCTGTGCATGAGCTTAGCTAGCCAACGTCGCCATCACATCGCCTACAAGCGTGATCTGGGATTTCTATTGGAGAAGCAGTTTCTACATACACTACATGGCCAAAAGTAAATTTGTGAATTCGGCTATTTCAGCCACACCCGTTGCTGACAGGTGTATAAAATTGAGCACACCGCCATGCAATCTCCATAGACAAACATTGGCAGTAGAATGGCCCATACTGAAGAGCTCAGTGACTTTCAACGTGGCACCGTCATAGGATGCCACCTTTCCAACAAGTCAGTTCGTCATATTTCTGCCTTGCTAGAGCTGCCCCGGTCAACTGTTTATTTATTTATTTATTTTATTTATTTTTATTTCACCTTTATTTAACCAGGTAAGCCAGTTGAGAACAAGTTCTCATTTACAACTGCGACCTGGCCAAGATAAAGCAAAGCAGTGCGATAAAAACAACAACACAGAGTTACATATGGGGTCAAAAAACATAAAGTCAAAAATACAACAGAAAATATATATACAGTGTGTGCAAATGTAGCAAGTTATGGAGGTAAGGCAATAAATAGGCTATAGTGCAAAATAATTACAATTAATATTAACACTGGAATGCTAGATGTGCAAGAGATTATGTGCAAATAGAGATACTGGGGTGCAAAAGAGCAAAATAAATAACAATATAGGGATGAGGTAGTTGGGTGGGCTAATTTCAGATGGGCTGTGTACAGGTGCAGTGATCGGTAAGGTGCTCTGACAACTGATGCTTATAGTTAGTGAGGGAGATAAGAGTCTCCAGCTTCAGAGATTTTTGCAATTCGTTCCAGTCATTGGCAGCAGAGAACTGGAAGGAATGGCAGCCAAAGGAGGTGTTGGCTTTGGGAATGACCAGTGAGATATACCTGCTGGAGCGCAGACTACGGGTGGGTGCTGCTATGGTGACCAATGAGCTAAGATAAGGCAGGGATTTGCCTAGCAGTGATTTATAGATAGCCTGGAGCCAGTGGGTTTGACGACGAACATGTAGTGAGGACCAGCCAACAAGAGCGTACAGGTCACAGTGGTGGGTAGTGTATGGGGCTTTGGAGACAAAACGGATGGCACTGTGATAGACTACATCCAATTTGCTGAGTAGAGTGTTGGAGGCTATTTTGTAAATGACATCGCCGAAGTCAAGGATCGGTAGGATAATCAGTTTTACGAGGGCATGTTTGGCAGCATGAGTGAAGGAGGCTTTGTTGCGAAATAGGAAGCCGATTCTAGATTTAACTTTGGATTGGAGATTCTTAATGTGAGTCTGGAAGGAGAGTTTACAGTCTAACCAGACACCTAGGTATTTGTAGTTGTCCACATACTCTAGGTCAGACCCGTCAAGAGTGGTGATTCTAGTCAGGTGGGCGGGTGCCAGCAGCGTTCGATTGAAGAGCATACATTTCGTTTTACTAGTGTTTAAGAGCAGTTGGAGGCTACTGAAGGAGTGTTGTATGGCATTGAACCTCGTTTGGAGGTTTGTTAACACAGTGTCCAATGAAGGGCCAGATGTATACAAAATGGTGTCGTCTGCATAGAGGTGGGTCTGAGAGTCACCAGCAGCAAGAGCGACATCATTGATATACACAGAGAAAAGAGTCGGCCCAAGAATTGAACCCTGTGGCACCCCAATAGAGACTGCCATAGGTCCAGACAACAGGCCCTCCGATTTGACACATTGAACTCTATCTGAGAAGTAGTTGGTGAACCAGGCGAGGCAGTCATTTGAGAAACCAAGGCTATTTAGTCTGCCAATAAGAATGCGGTGGTTGACAGAGTCGAAAGCCTTGGCCAGGTCGATGAAGACGGCTGCACAGTACTGTCTATTATCGATCGCTGTTATAATACCGTTTAGGACCTTGAGCGTGGCTGAAGTGCACCCATGACCAGCTCGGAAACCGGATTGTATAGCGGAGAAGGTACGGTGGGATTCGAAATGGTCGGTGATCTGTTGTTAACTTGGCTTTCAAATACTTTCGAAAGGCAGGGCAGGATGGATATAGGTCTGTAACAGTTTGGATCTAGAGTGTCACCCCCTTTGAAGAGGGGGATGACCGCGGCAGCTTTCCAATCTCTGGGGATCTCAGACGTTACGAAAGAGAGGTTGAACAGGCTAGTAATAGGGTTTGCGACAATTTCGGCGGCTAGTTTTAGAAAGAAAGGGTCCAGATTGTCTAGCCCAGCTGATTTGTAGGGGTAACTGTAAGTGCTGTTATTGTGAAGTGGCAACATCTAGGAGCAACAACGGCTCAGCAGCGAAGTGGTAGGCCACACAAGCTCACAGAACGGACCGCCAAGCGCTTAAGCGTGTAGCGCATAAAAATCGTATGTCCTCTGCTGCAACACTCACTACTAAGTTCCAAACTGCCTCTGGAAGCAACGTCAGCACAATAACTCTTTGTCGGGAGCTTCATGAAATGGGTTTCCATGGACGAGCAGCCACACACAAGCCTAAAATCACCATGCGTAATGCCAAGCGTCGGCTGGAAAGGTGTAAAGCTCGCCGCCATTGGACTCTGAAGCAGTGGAAACGCGCTCCCTGGAGTGATGAATCACGCTTCACCATATGGCAGTCTGATGGACAAATCTGGGTTTGGCGGATGCCAGGATAACCCTACCTGCCCCAATGCATAGTGCCAACTGTAAAGTTTGGTGGAGGAGGAACAATGGTCTGGGGCTGTTTTTCATGGATCGGGCTAGGCCCCTTAGTTCCAGTGAAGGGAAATCTTAACGCTATAGCATACAATGACCTTTTAGACGATTCTGTGCTTCCACCTTTGTGGAAACAGCCCTTTCCTGTTTCAGCATGACAATGCCCCCATGCACAAAGCGAGGTCCATACAGAAATGGTTTGTCGAGATTGGTGTGGAAGAACTTGACTGGCCTGCACAGAGCCCTGACCTCAACCCCATCAAACACCTTTGGGATGAATTGGAACGCCGACTGCAAGCCAGGCCTAATCACCCAACATCAGTGCCCGACCTCACTAATGCTCTTGTGGCTGAATGGAAGCAAGTCACCGCAGCAATGTTCCAACATCTAGTGGAAAGCCTTCCCAGAAGAGTGGAGGCTGTTATAGCAGCAAAGGGGGGACCAACTCCATATTAATACCCATGATTTTGGAATGAGATGTTTAATGAGCAGGTGTCCACATACTTTTGACCATGTAGTATATCTTCATACTAAACCATCTTTGGTTAGGTTGACAGTTAGCATTTTCTCATATCATTAAGATAACTTTCTCATATCATTGGGATGATTATTTTGGGATGGTTACTTTGCTTTTTGAGAAAAAGTGGAGTGTCTGCCCATAGGTATGTAAAGTGATAGGTCACTCCAAAATCAGCGTGTACTCCACATTTTAATATTTTTAAATGTTTGAAAATGAACATTAAGCTCAGTGTCCAAAATAAGTATGTAAAACAAGTCCGTTAAACGAGTGATTTCTTTTCCACACTAGTTTAAGGTAAGTCACTCTAATTTGGTGAAACGTATTTCAGTTCACTGTATTGGTTTCTTCAACGCTGCTGGCACCCGCCCACCCGACTAGAATCACTACTGTTGACGGGTCTGACCTAGAGTATGTGGACAACTACAAATACCTAGGTGTCTGGTTAGACTGTAAACTCTCCTTTCAGACTCACATTAAGCATCTCCAATCCAAAGTTAAATCTAGAATCGGCTTCCTATTTCGCTACAAAGCCTCCTTCACTCATGCTGCCAAACATGCCCTCGTAAAATGGACTATCCTACCGATCCTTGACTTCGGCGATGTCATTTACAAAATAGCCTCCAACACTCTACTCAGCAAATTGGATGTAGTCTATCACAGTGCCATCCGTTTTGTCTCCAAAGCCCCATACACTACCCACCACTGTGACCTGTACGCTCTTGTTGGCTGGTCCTCACTACATATTCGTCGCCAAACCCACTGGCTCCAGGCCATCTATAAATC